ATTACTCTTCACATCTATTTGAAAAGTAGTGGTGAGGCCTGGTGCGTTGGCTCACACCTGCCATTCCAGTTACTTGGGAGACGTAAATAGGAAAATGGCCTGAGCAAAAACCCTGAATAAACCCAAGTCTCCACTTTCTCAGTACCTGCACCCAGTGATTGAATGACCATTGGAGAAAATCATGCAACTGGGCAAAATTGGAGCCACCAATTTTATCTGGGCCTCAGAACTGCCTGGCACACATTTCCCTAATTCACTTGCCCTCCAACCCTCAACGACATATTTCAAATCTCCTTGAGCTTAAGTCATGGCTCAAGTAGTAGACCACCTGCTTAGCAAGTACAAAACCCTGAGTTCAGACCCCAGTACCGCCAAAACAAAACAAAAAAACTCTTCTTTACTCAAGGTGCTAATTTCTTACGGGGGTGGGGGTGGAGGGGTGGGGGGGTGGGAGTTAAAACCTTCAAAAGAAAAATTTCTCAAATTATTGCTTTGAAACTTATAAACTCATGTATGTCCAAAGCTATTTTTCCTTTCTGCTTCCTGGGCTCAGATTGTTTAGAATGGTAGTGATTATAAGAAGCTATATCCAACTTGTAGTCCCTAACCAATGAGGAGAGTTATGAGCTCACAGAATAAGAATTAGGGCTGAGGCTGAGGGCATAATGGCTCAAGTGGTAGAGCACTTTCCTGGCAAGCATGAGGCCCTGAGTTCAAACCCTGGTACCATCAGTATGAAGGCTGAGCAGTCCCAAAGTTAGTTCAAGAGCTCTGTGATGTCATTGTAGACACATGAAGTTTCTGTATTCCAGAGTTCTGCCATTCTTAGAGCATAGGCAATGTTTTTCCTCTTGACCATAAGATGGATGCATCAGTACCAGGCATTATTTGTAAACAACCACATCCAGCAAAGGAGGGGGTGTACTTTCTTCCAGGTGTCTCTTTTTATTGGAACACTTTTCCTAGAAATGTACCCCTCTTTTCCACAAGGTCCTACTGACTGCAAGAGGAGGCTGAAACAGCAACTATCTGACAGTTTGTCAGAGAAAAGTGGACTCAGCTAGTGAGGAATAAGGGAGGGCTCAGGAGAGGAATGATTGCTGGGTGAACTAGCAACATTTGCCATTTCCCTCCCATTCTGGTATGGGTGTCTCTCTTTCCTGTTCATTTGGTCTCTCCATGACTACTCCTTCCATCAACATTTAATCTTGTGTGTGTCCCTCCTATCTTCATAAAGGTTGTCCTTGGGCCAGGCACAGTGGCTCACCTCTGTAATCCCAGATACTTGGGATGTGGAGATCAGGAGGATCATGGGGGGATGCTGGCCTCTAGCAAAAATGTGAGACCCTACCTAACAGCAAATAGGACTGGAGTGTACACCTCAAGGGATAGGACAGTTGCCTAGCAAGCATGAGGCCCTGGTCCTGGGTTTAAATCCCAGTACTGGCAAAAAAAAAAGTTTGTCTTGGGCCGGGGTAGTAGCTCAGAGGTAGAGTGCTTGCCTAGCATGCACAAGGCTCTAGATTTAATCTCCAGAGCTGCAAAAGATAAAAAATAAGCAAATAAAGATTGCCCTTCCCAATCCAAATCTCTGTCCAACTAATAATATACTTTTTTCCCTCCTTTTTACAGTTATTGACTCCCCTTCTTGACTTCCGGTCTCCAAAACACTGCCATATGGCTTTCATACAGAAAGACCCACCAAAACTGCTCTTGCTTAGTTCATGATTGCCTCTGTTACTGATGGGACATTTCTTAGTTCCATCTTAATTGACCCAACAGCAGCATTCAAGGTAGCCTCTTCTCACTCCCTTCTCAAAACTCTACTCCCAGCTTCTTTGGTGTCATGGACTCTCCTGTTTTCCTCACCATGCTCCCAACATTACCTTCTGAGTCTCCTTTACAGGTCAATACCTTATACAATCCAGTAAATGCTGGGAGTGTAAGACCTCAGTCATATTCATGTCTCATGTCACCTTAATCATCTTCTTCCAATGCCTCTCTTATCCGGTATGTGCAGAAATCTCAAGTTCCTTTGTCTAGTTAAGAACTGAACTCCACCTCTAATATCTATCTGCCTACTTAACACCTCCATGCCAATGTCTCTTTAGCACTCCAAACACCCTTCCCCATCAACTCACTCTTCCTCTAATGTTCCCTATCAGCACAATGACAATGTCTCTCTTTTTAAAAAAATTATATATATTGTTGTACTGGGGGAACACTATGACATTTACAAAAGTGATTACAATATAGCTTAGTTAAATTCACACCCTCCATCATTCTCCTTTATCCACGACAGTTTTTCAAAACCCAACTCTCCTGGACTCTTTCCTCAATCTCCACATCTAATCAATTATCAAAAAAATATCCACTTCTCTATCTCCCTCATGCAGGGACAATAGCTTCTTAATTGATTTCTTCACATCCACCAGTTCCACTTCCAATCCAAGCTATTTAATTACCATGCTGCAATTAAAAACACAAGTCTTATCTGTAACTCCTGTGTTTATAACTTATTGACTTCCTAAAATCCTTACAAAAAATGCCTGCAATCCTGAACATGACTTTCAAGGCACTGTATGAGCTGTTCCTTGCAACAACTCCTCCATGTCCCAGCCATGTTGGGCATTTTTCAATTCTTCAGGTGCACTGTGGGTTTCATTTTTCCTTTTTGCACTGGGATTTGAACTCAGGGCCTCATGCTTGCTAGGCAGGTGATCTATTGCTTCAGCCACTCCACCAGCTCTGTTTTGTGTTGGGCAATTTTTGAGATAGAGTCTCTGGAACTATTTGCCCAGGCTGGCTTCGAACCCCGAGATTCTCCTGATCTTTGCCGCCTGAGTAGATAGGATTACAGATGTGAGCCACTGGCACCTCATTGGGAATGATTTCTTTACCTAGTTAGATTTCCTGACATGTCACTTCTTCATGAAGGCCTTTTCTGCCTTGCCACACACTACTATAGCTCTCAATTTCCTTTCTTGTAGCATTCATCATCATTTCAATCATTGGCTCAGTCTGCCCTACTCACTGGACTGAATAGTCACAAAGGCAGGGCCCTTGTCTGGCTGCCCCACCTCATCAAATGCCTACCTCATAGTAGACAAACATCTGATGAATGAAAGAAAAGCTGTGACTGTTTAATTCTAACATTAGGGATAACTAGACAGTTCTACTGACTTTCCAGGTTGATATTTTTATTTAAATTAATTTTTAAACTGATACAAACATAAAAATTATACATATTAATGGAACACCATCTAATTTTTCAATACACGTATACATCATGTAATGTGTAAATCATGTTAATATCTCATTTATCTTTTTTTTTTTAATAGTACTGGGGTTTGAACTCAGGGCCTATACCTTGAGCCACTCTACCAGCTCTTTTTTTGTGATGGGTTTTTTTCAAGATAGGGTCTTGGGAACTATTTGCCTGGGGCTAGCTTTGAACTACAATTCTCCTGATATCTGCTTCCTGAGTAGCTAGGATTACAGGTGTGAGCCACCTGCACCTGCTCATTTATCATTTCTTTATGGCGAAAGACATTCTAGCTGTTTGTAGGTTGACTAGACTTTTAAGATGATCACATGGCTAGGGATTTAGTTCAGTGGTAGAGTGTTCAAGGAGGTGGGGTGGATTCCTAGCATTGCAAAAAAAAAAAAATCCACTTAAAATTGGTATGAAAGATCAACTCTAAAGCACCTCGCTTGGAGGTGCGTGCCTATGATCCCAGCTAAGCAGGTGGCAGAGATCAGGATGGTGGTTTCAATACTAAAGCAAAAAAGGGCTGAGAGGGTATGACTCAAGCAGTAGAGCACCTGCCTAGCAAGCACAAGACCCTGAGTTCAAACCCGAGTAGTGCCAAAAAAAAAAAAAAAATCAATTCTTTTTGAGGACTGGTGTCCTATATAGGCAGCATATATAAAGCATGTACATAATGTATATGTATATAATATATAATATTTAAAGTATAATAAATATGATAAATGTGTAGCATGTTTCAATTTATAACTGATTTTTAAAAATACTAAATAAATCATAAAATCCTTTGTATATGTTATCATGAAAGTATTAATTATGGATCAATTTTCATTTTAATGTCAACCAATTACAAAGTGTCATATATCTTTATTATAGGACATTCTCCCATAAAAATAAAAACGAAATCATTATTCTTTTTTTTTTGCATTATCATGGAAAAAGTAGCTGGAAAATAATTATTCTCTACTTTTGTGTTGCTTTAGAAAGCAGCCAGGGAAGCTGGGCATTGTGGTGTGTGTCTATAATCTTAGCACTTGGGAGGCTGAGGCAGGAGGATCAGGAGTTGGAGGCCAGCCTGGACTACATAAAGAGACCTGTCTCAAAAAACAAAACAACAAAGCAGCTGTGGCAACAGCATAGCTAGTGTTTCAAGTTTTACAATGCGTCTGGCCAGGACAATGCAGAAAGAAGCCAGCATTCTCCCAAAACCTCCCCTCGGACGCCTGAGCTCTAGGGCATTTCAGAAAGTCACTGTTGTGGTTTCAAGGTCTTGGTAGTAAATCCCTACAAAAATCATTCTGTTCCATGCTGGGACGATTGCTTCCACATTACTTAAGGTCTCAATGAGGCAGAGAATGGCGCGTCCGCGTCAATGTTTTGGCTCTCACCACTGCCCCCTTTCATAGTGCCTCGGAAACCACAGTTACATTTCCACAGCATTGTAACAAACAAACCTCAGAACACTACAATTCCCGTCAGGCGTCACTGGAGGCGACGCCGACGTGCCGTAAGCGGTTAGTCATCCTTCTCCTTGCCTCCGTCCACTTCCTGGACTCGGGGGTGTGAGGCCTCGCGAGCGCGCCCACGTACTGACGTGCCACACGTACAAGGCACTGAGGCGCTGAGACGCCGACGACGTTTGGAGTCACGTGACGTGGGGCGCACTGAGCCAAGCGCGCGCTTGCGCGCGTCCCGGGGGGCCGCTGACGGGCGTGCGCGCTGGTGAGGAACCGGAGCCGGAGGCGGGGGCCGGACCAGCGGGGCTGCGGGGGCCGCGGGGCCCGACGAAGAGGGAGGGCGGGGCCAGCTTCGCGACCGTGGTGACCACACAGCGAGAGAGTGCTTGAACCCGAGCGGAGCGATGCTGTGGTTCCAGGGTGCCATTCCGGCCGCCATCGCGACGGCTAAGAGGAGCGGCGCGGTCTTCGTGGTGTTCGTGGCAGGTGAAGGGGGCGGGGGCCCGAGACGCGGCCGGGACACCCCTGCGGCCTGCCTTCCTCCTCCGTTGTACTTGAGGCGCCCGGCTGTCCTCCCGGAGACGGGGACACACCTCGGCTCGCGCAGCCTTGACCCCGCCGCCGGTTCCCTTCGGGGGCCGTGTGGACCCCAGCGCCCAGCCCCTGAGACCCCGGGCGCCGTCGCTTCTCCCCAGCGCCTCCCTGCCGGCTAGGGGAATTCGCGGGCCCTGGCCCGGGCCCGATGCCGTCTCTCCCGGCACCAGGCGGGACGCGCGGGCCTGGCCTGGTCCACAGAGCGCGCTGAGCCCGCAGAGCCCCCTTCGCGGGCGAGGGGAGCGGCCACCAGGCCAGGCCGCCGAGCCTGCGCGCCCCCGCGGAGCCGAGCAGCGCTCGCAGCCCCCCGCCCCCCCAGCCCTCCCCTCGGTCCCTCGGTCCCTCGGGACCCTTGGGGTGCGTGAACTCCGGCTTGGCTCCCGCAGTGCGGGCTGGTAGGATGGGCCAGTAGGCAGGCACTGGGCTTCGCGAGTTGTTGTCAGGAGAAAGCTGTGTCATCGAGAAGCAACAAAGAGAAACTACTTGATGTTCCTGAAACGTAAACTATCCAGCTTTAGAGACCTTTCTTTTTTGTGACAGTGCGGGGGAGGGGGGCTCCTAAGGTGCAATGACTAGTTTATTGAAAGTTGATTAAAAAAAAATCTTTTTTAGCAGTTTAAGATAAATACACATCCAGTTTAAGGTTTTTCCCTTTGTTGTGCTATCCGAAATCAACGTAGTTTTCCAGAACGTGTGTACTCTATAGATTATTTTATTCCATTTCTCATGCTTTAGTGCTGAAGTCTTGTAGATTTCCAGTGAGCCATCTGCTTCTGTGGTTGTGCATTCTGATTACATGGACCAGTGTTCCTGACAACTTATTTTGAGGTGTATTTCTTCAACTACTTGGCGTTTAGTAATGTTTTGCTCATAATTCACACACGTTTTAGTAGTTCAGTTAACTGTACACTGCAATGAAGAACAAACTGCTGAAATACGAATTTAGTTTAGCATTAAATTTGAGATTTTTGGGGGCTGGTGGAATGGCTCAAGAGGTAGAGCGCCTGCCTAGCAAATGTGAAGCCCTGAGTTCAAATCCCATACCACCATAATAATAATAATAAGAAGAAGAAGAATGAAATAAAACTTGAGAATTTGGGCTGGAGAAGTGGCTTAAGTGGTAGAGTGCCTGTATAGCAAGTGTGAGACCCTGAATTCAATCCCCAGTACCACAAAAAATTGAAATGTTTGTTTTGTTAGGCTAAGTTTTTAGTTTTGTGCTGTTAACTAGAAGTAGTTTAGATTCTGTTAGGCTGTCTGTTCTGGAGCTACATTATATTTTACATAAATAATTTGTTATAAATTGTTATAATTTTATAATTTTAAGTGAATTAAAAATAAAGGAATTTGGCACCTGTGCTTATTATGAATTCAATAACAGGTTTGTGGCATTTTAAATTGCATTCTTTATATATACAATTTCAATGGATCCTGTTGTAGGTAGGTAGAATAACAGGTTTTATTAACCCTGTTACATAGTTGAGGAACTTAGATCCAAAGTGGTAAAGTGACTTGCACTGGGTCACAAAAAGTGACACCTTTTTTTTTTTTCTTTTTTTGTGGTACTGGAGTTTGCACTCAGAGGTCTTATGCTTGCTAGGCAGGCACTCCACCACTTTAGCCACTCCACTAGTCCAGGAGTTGACACACTTACATCTTAATAGTGAAAAATTTTAGCTACTTCAAAAAAAGACGTCCTTTGGGTGGAACTGGCCTCAAGGCTTCATGCTTATATGCTTGCAAAGCAGGGGTCTGCAACTTGATTTTTTTTTTTTCTAGCAGCACTGGGGTTTGAACTCAGGGCCTCACACTTACTAAGCAGGTGCGCTACTACTTGAGCCACTCCACCAGTGGGCTCTACCACTTTTTTGCTCTGGTTATTTTGTAAACTATTTGCCCCAGGCTGGCCTCAAACTTTCTAATCTCAGCCTCCCAAATCCCTAGGATTACAGGTGTGAATCTCCACCCCCAGCTCTTTTTTGTTTCTTAAGGAAAAAACTGAACAGTTAAGTAGGTTTATATAGTAATTTAAATTGGTATGGAAATGGGGAAATCTAGGACTACAGCCATGTTTTGAATAAAAAAAATACAATTGATGATGTCCAAACATTTCTCAAAGGTACTCTTGAGATAATCAGTTAATTTGAAAGAAATGCCTTTTTATTTTGTTTTGAGAATGCCTTTTTTTTTTTTTTCTTCAGAGTTGGGGATAGAACTCAGAACTTCATGCATACCAGGGAAGCACTCTACCACTGAGCTATACTTCCAGCCTAGAATGCTAGATTTAACTAATTAATATTGGAAACCCATACAGAAGCACTGCTATCAGTTATTGGAATTCTTACATACAAAGTCTTGTGCTTTAAGGGCTTTGTGTGTATGTACATTCTTCAGTTACACGTTACTAATGAACAGGTATTATATGTATTAAGAATATTAATGATGGTTAAATGTCTGCAGAAAGACTGTCAGCAGTTTGACAGTGGGGTCAGACTGTTCCAAAATACAGTTAGCTCTTCTGGAGTTTTAGCTGGTTAATCTCCAAGACTAAGTAGGATTAGTGTCGCCATAGGCGTACATAGACACTGGACTCATAAAACTGTAACACTTAGTGATTGCCTAGAGCTTTGTTCATAACTTGAAGAATATATTTGGGGTTCTTAGATCTTGAAACCCCCAACAAGAATATACCAATTAATGGAAAATTGAAAAGATATCTGTTGCTAGAAGGAGTGGTCTCAAGGGTCTCAAGAACTAGTCAAGTGACCCTGTGTTGGTGGCTCAAGCCTGTGATCCTAGCTACTCAGGAGGATCAAGGTTCAAAGCCAACCCTGGGCAAATTGTTTGTGAGACCCTATCTCGAAAAAACCTATGACAAAGAAGTGCTGGTGGAGTGGCTTAGGGTGAAGGCCCTGAGTTCAAATTCCAGTACTGCAAAAAATAAGAACTATTCAAGTGTGGGTGGAGGTGTGGCTCAAGTGGTAGAGGGCTTGCCTAAAAGCCCAAGGCCCTGAGCTCAAACCTGGTTCTTCCCCCCCCCCACCCAAAAGATAATAAAAGCCCTTGAGCCAGGTTTACATGTACATAGTCATACTTGAAAAGTACCCTGGCCCATAAATCCAGACACTTTTGATGCCTGGAACTATTGAGGTGGTAAACATTTTAGGCAAATTTTTATTTCATGAAATTTTCTTTGTGTTTGTTTTAGAGACTGGGTCTCTGTATTGCCCAGGCTGGCCTCAAACTCCTGGGCTTAAGGGATCATCCTGTCTCAGCCTCTCAAGTAGCTGGAACTGTGAAATTTTCATGGATGAATTAATGTTGCAGAGTTGATATCAGGAGATGAGAGATAACTGGTACTTCAGCCATCATGTTTTTCTTTTTTCATTTTTTTTTTTGTTTTTTTATAGTACTGGGGTTTGAACTCAGGGCCTACACCTTGAGCCACTCTATCAGCTCTTCTTTTGTGATGGTTTTTTTTTGAGATTGGGTCTTGAGAACTATTTACCCGGCTTGGCCTGGACCTTGATCCTCCAGATCTCTGCCTTCTGAGTAGCTAGGATTATAAGTGTCTGGCTTAGCCAGCAAATTAACAAGAATTTTCAGTGTAGCTGTTTAAATTGAAACAAGTAAAACAAGATGATTTGGTTTTAGTGCAGTAATCCTGAAACTATCCTGTGTCCTCTTGTCTGTTCCCTGGTGTTGTCAGGCAGGCTGAAATTTATTAATGTCAGACACCATTTACTGTCTTTTTGGTTAACAGACTACAAAGCCTTTCAGTTTTGAGCAATTGAGATTTTCTTAGGTTGGAAGGGCTAGCTGTTTAAGTGCAGCTAACTCTTTGCTTTAGAGTTTGTGCTCTTTTAAGTGTCTTCATTTTGGATATTGCTGGTATTTAAGGATACAATATTTTTTCCTAAAGTCTTAGGCTCACCTAACTTTATAGTGTAGTTAATAATTTCCTTAAAAATAAGGAACTAAAGATACTAAAGTTGGCAATTAGTAATCCCACTGAGTACTAAGTATTAAGAATATTCTCCCTGAGTTGAGAATTTCATTCAGTTTTCTACCTGGTCAAGCAGCTGGTGCTGCTTTCACAAGGCTGAGTAATTGACAGATGCTGCCAGTGGGGATGTGAAGGTTGGGACCCTGACCACATGGTACAGTACATTTGAGGGAGTGAAAAGCACCAGCCTCACAAAAAGCAGAGCCATGTTTCTAGTTACTTGTATGACAGTGCCATTTAGATCTCACAGGATTTATTTTCAAGCCTAAAAGTACATAAACCTGTCCCCCCATTCCCCTGCCCCCCCCCACCATGTGTGTGTGTGTGTGTGTGTGTGTGTGTGTGTGTGTGTGTGTGTGTGACTGGAGTTTGAAGTCAGGGCTTTGCAGACTCTACTGCTTGAGCCACACTTTCAGTCCATTTTTCTCTGTTTATTTTGGAAATGGGGTCTGGAAAACTATTTGCTCCAGCTGATCTCAAACTCTGATCCTCCTGATCTCAGTCTCCCAAGTAGCTAGGTTTATAGGTGTGAGCCACCAGCACTCAGCACCCAAGGATTATATTTCTAAGTAAGTGGTACCCTTCTATATTCAGTTTGATAAACAATAAGTGTGGAAGTCATCTTTGACTCTTTAACTCTTCAAGTTCATCCTGCTCTCCATTATTCATGATATTTTCAGTCACACAGTCCTTTTCTCTGCACGTGTAATTTCTTCTGCTTGGTTAACTCTTCTGGTGCTTGACAAGCCTCAGATCTTTCATTCTTTAGGTCTGTTTTTATTTATTTGTGGTACTGGGACTTGACCTCAGGGCCTATACCTTGAGCCACTCCACCAGGCCTTTTTTCATGATGGGTTTTTTCAAGATAGGGTCTCGAGAACTATTTGTCCAGCTGGCTTTTGAACTGTGATCCTCCTGATGATCTCTGCCTCTTGAGTAGCTAGGATTACAGGTGTGAGCCACTGGCACCTGCTCAGGTATTACTTTAGATGTCACTTCTGAAGGCTTCCCTGACCATTATGAAGAACATAATTCTCTTGTTAGTTTCTCTCATAGCTTTTTTTTTCTTGCATAACACTACATAAGTATTTATAGTTTTCTGTTTAAATTTTTGTACCATTAGATTTTAAGTTCCATTGAGAGCACACAATGTTTCATTTTTTATTTAGTATATAGGGCAATGCCTAGAACAAAAGAACTGTGAAATAAAATAATAAATGAATGAAAGAAGGAATGGAAAAAATTCTTTACTCTTCACAGCCTTTTTTTGCAATACTGGGGCTTTGAACTTGGGACCTTCACCTTGAGCCACTCCACCAGCTCTATTTTTTGTGAAGGGTTTTTCAAGATAGGGTCTCACAGAACTGTTTGCCCAGGCTGGCTTCTTCGAACTGCAATTCTTCTGATCTCTGCCTCCTGAGTAGCTAAGATTACAGGTATGAGCCACTGGCATTAGCCTATGGCACCCAGTTGTTCACAGCCATCCTAAGAAGTATTTGACAGGGTGCCAGTGGCTCACACCTGTAATCCTATCTACTCATGAGGCAGAGATTAGGAGAATCACAGTTCGAAGCAGTCTGGGCAAATAGTTCAAGAGAGTCTACCTTAAAAAAGCTATCACCAAAAAAAAGGTTGGTGGAGTGGCTCAAGGTGTAGGCCTTGAGTTCCAACTGTAGTACTGCAAAAAAACAAAACAAAACAAAACAAAACAGTATTTGTAGTAAGACTGTTCCTGTACATCTGTTTTCTAGGTTGATAGTTGAGTTAGTTGAGTCATTTTCTTGGAATTTTATTGTTTCCCCTCACCTTGTGGTCTTTGCAGAAACATTGAGAATATCCTCACTAGCAAATGATAATTTTCCCTGATTCCCGCTCCCCTCCCCCCAAAAACATGGCTTTGATCCCAGGGTCTTGCACTCAACCACTTGACCCCACTCCCAAGTCCTTTTTGCTTTTAGTTACTTTTCTTTTCTTTTTTCTTTTTTTTTTTTTTGAGTTTTGAGAATACTTTGTTAATTGCTTTTAGTTATTTTTCAAATAGGGTCTTGTGTTTGTGTCTGGATTAGCCTTGACCATGTTGCTCCTATTTATAATTTCTGTGTAAGCTAGAATGACAAGTGTCATTCCATTCTATCCAGCTTTTTATTGATTGAAATGGGGGTCTTGGAAACATTTTGCCTGGGCTGGCCTTGAACCATGATCTTCCCAACCCCAGCTTCCTAAATAGTTTGGATTACAAGTGTGAGCTACCCTTTGACAATTTTCCCTTATTTTTTGTCTCATCATCTGGAGTGTGATAAAGGGGTGTTCTTTTTGGTCTTGATTTGTGTGGATACATTCTAGTTCCTGTTCACTTTTCCATATCCAATTTCTCAAAACACCTATTCCCTATATTCCTGGGTCTTATCTCACCCAAAACATATTCAGATGTACAGCATTATAATGAAGTATTGTAGGCATACCAGGGAACTTACTGTAGTAGACATTTAGCTACTGAATCCACCGAATACTGAGTGCCTGTTATATGCTAGGTACTTACTGTGTTTTTTTTGTTGTAAGGATTTGAGGGGGTTTTTTTTGTTTGTTTGTTTTGTGTTTTGTTTTTGCAGTACTGGGGTTTGAACTCAGGGCTTACACCTTGAGCCACTCCACCAGTCCTTTTTTTGGTGATAGGTTTTTTTCAAGATAGGGTCTCACAAATTGTTTTCCTGGGCTGGCTTCAAACTGTAATTCTTCTGATCTCTGTCTTCTGAGTAGCTAGGATTATAGCAGGAGCCACCAGTGTCTGGATGGGATTTGAGTTTTGTGATAATATGGAAATCATTCCTAGATTCCTTGAGTGCAAGCCCCAGTATGAAAGAAGGAAAGAAAAAAAAAAAAAGAAAAAAGAAACAGAAAGGAAAACAATCCTGTCCTCTTAAAACTGACTTTATTGCTGGGGGGAGAGGCACAATGAACATTAAACATGATTAAAAACACATAGAATATTTGAGATAATATGAATATTGGGAATGTGTGAAGAGTATAATTTAAAGGTGGGTGATTAGGGAAGGCTTTACTGAGAAGGTGATTTAAGGAAGTTGAGAGTTAGCCATGTAGATATTTGGGAGGAGAATATTCCAAGCAGAGGAAACAACTGTGTAGAACAAAGACCTTAAAACTGAAGTGTCTTTGGTATTTGAGGAATAGAATTTCTTTGGTATTTGAGGAATAACAAGAAAGTAAAAGGAAATGAGTTGAGAAGGGACTGGAGGCCTGATGTGTAGTGCCTTATAGTCCCTTATGAAGACTTTGGCTTTAACTTTGAAAAAAAATGGGGAGCTGTTGTAGGATTTTAAGGAGAGAGTTGATGTGATCTTTTAAAAGAAAGTTTTTGTGTTAAGAATAGACCCAGCAGGGAGATGCAGTTAGGTGAGTGTTAGAGTCATTTAGGTGAGATGATGTAGCAGGGGAAATGGTAAGAAGTAGTCACATACTTTTTTTTGTGGTACTGAAGTTTGAATTTAGGCCCTCATGCTTGCTAAGCACGCGCTCTACCACCTGAGCCAAACCAAGTTTTATTCGTTATGTATTTTGGAAATAGAGTCAACTGAAGTCAAAGATAAAATATGCCCCCCCCCCTCCCCGCTTGCTATGTTGGTGGAACCCAAGGCTTTGTGCATGCTAAGTAAGCACTCTACCACTGAGCTACATCTCCACTCCTGGAAAGATCAGTATTTGTGGGATTATGCTTTATTTGAAGTTTCCATTTTTCAGGGGAAAGAATTTGCAATTAACAAATCATGGCCTTTTGTTTTAAGAATCCCTAAAATGTTTTACAGGTGATGATGAGCAGTCTATACAGATGGCTGCAAGTTGGGAAGATGAGAAAGTGGCAGAAGCATCTTCAAACAGTTTTGTTGCTATTAAAATTGATACAAAAAGGTTTGCTTATATTTTAATATCTCATTACTTTTTATTTTATAATCAAACTCTTTGGTTGTGATTTATGGTGATACTCTTGGGCTATAGGTGTTAATGTTGTTAGATATCTAAGGCATATTGGAAATTTAAATTGATTGCATTATCAGATTCATATTTATCTTGCTGAAAAAATTTCAAGCTTTTCTAGTCTACCAAGTAGCCATATAACGTATCAGGAATGCAAAAATAATTGTGATCTCCAGTTTCCAAGAACTTCAAAGTAATTATAAACTGTACATTGACTACCTTTACAAGTGAGTCATATTTACTCAACCCTTTTTGGACCCTTTTTAGGGGAATAGAGCTACTTAATTCAAAAAGAATATTGTAGATATATCTCTCTTAGTAACTATCTACAGATCTGTTTTCTCTATCCTCTCTGCCTTTTAAATTTTTTGTTTTGGCAGTACTGAAGTTTGAACTCAGGGCCTCATGCTTGCCAGGCAGGCCCTTTACCACTTGAGCCACTCCACCAGCTAAACATGTTGAAATAACTGAATACTCTGAATAGTGTGTAATGAATCACATGTCCTTATCTACATGCTCTAATAATTAACAGCTCATAGTCTTGTTTCATATATCCCCACCCTATTCATCCCATATTATTTAGAAACAAATTAGTCATCACACCACTTAATCTATAAATTTTTTAGCATAACTGTAATGCTTAAAAAAATTTATCTTTTAATATCATTAAATAACCAGCAGTATTCAAATTTTTAGTTGTCTTACAGTTTTACTAATTAACTTCTTGCAGGTTTTTATGTGGGGGAGGGTCAGATGATATCAAGGTCCACACATTGTCTATTTCAAGTCTCTTAGTCTGTAGGCTTATCCTTTATATTGCTGTCTCCATCTCTCTCAATATATTTATTTACATATTTTATGTGAGACTGGGGTTTGCACTTGTGAGGCACGTGTACTTTCTGTACATTCTATAGTTTTTAACCTGGATTTTTTTTATTGTAGCCCTGTATTAATTTGTTTTTCTGTCTTCTGTTGTCATAAATTAATAGATGGAGTCAAGTTTGACTTCCCCCACTCCTCAAAATCACCTCACAGTGGGTGGCATATCATCCATCAGAACATTATAATATCTTGTTATCTCTGTGGTATTACCAGGCATTAGTGAACACTGAGTAGAAACATTAATGCATTAGCAGCTTCAGAGTGTGATATTCTTGTCCATTTGATATAATATCAAAATGAACAATATGTTTGAAAATCACTGTCAAAGAATGTTCAGAAATATACCTGTTAAGCTTATAAAATTTTTACTTAAAAATTTTCCCTTTAACAAATTTCACAAAGCAAACCATAGTATAGCCTGCCTCACCACAAGTTACTGAGCTATATAGTTATTAAGCTGTAATAGGTTTTTTTTTTTTTTTTTCGGAGGTGCTAGGGATTGCATTCAAGGCCTTGCACATGTGAGGTGCTAGGTAAGTGCTCCAGTCACCATTGAGCTATAACCCAGTCCAGTAGTAGTTTTTCTTTTCTTTTTTTCCTAGTACTGGGGTTTGAACTCAGGGTCCATTACTCCTAATCCCTTTGAGCCATGTCCCTTGCCTGTTTTTAATTTAGTTATTTTTCCAGTAGGGTCTCAAGTCTTTTCATCTGGATTGTGATCCTTCTGTATTGCTGGGAGGTGCACTGCCATACCCGGCTTATTGATTGAGCTGGGAGGTCTTGCTAACTTTTTATCCAGGCTGGCCTTGAATCAGGATCCTCCTGATCTCTGCCTCCAGAGTAGCTGGGATTAAGGAGTAAGCCCCCACACCCAGCCTTGTTTTTTTTGTTGTTGTTTTTTTAAGACATGGTCATAATATCTAGCCCTGGCTGGACTCAAATTCATAATCCTCCTGTCGCAACCTCCTGATTGTTGGGATTACAAGGATGCACCATCACATCTACCTCAGGTTTTGTTTTTTTTGTTTTTTTTTTGAAACAGAGTCTCACTGTGTAGCCCAGGCTAACCTGGAACTTGCTATGTAGCGCAGACTGACCTGAAACTACCAATTCTCCTGCTTCAGCCTCGCAAGTGCTAGGAGTTACAGGCCTGTATTACCACACTTGACTCTGGCTCAGTTTTTTTTTTTTTTCTTTTAAAGCAGAGGTCTGTCAATTTAAATAGATAAAATGTTATTCAGAAGCACCTTTTAGAGCTGGCAATAGAGGGAAGGATATAAGGATTAATAGGGAATTTGGAAGACTTGAGAATTTCAGAATTCTTGAGATTATATACAGATTTATCTATCTAGTGTTTTTAACTTCCATTTTTCATTTTTAAAATATTAATTTGTTTTTTTTTTTTTTTTGAGATAGGGTCTTGCCATGTGTACCTCAGGTTGGACTTGAATGACAATGTTACTGGTTCAGCCTCCCCAAGTGGTAGGATTATAGGTTTGTGTCACCATACCTAACATTTTTTTTAAAACAAAATTTTTTTTTCTTTTTTTGTTGGAACTGGAGTTTGGACTTCGGGCTTCATGCTTCCAAAGCAAGTGCTATACCACTTGAGCCACATCTCCAGTCCATTTTACTCTGGTTATTTTGGAGATGGGGGTCTTGTAAACTATTTGTACGTGCTGACCTTGAACCATGATACTCCCAATGTCAGCCTCTCAAGTAGCTAGGGTTACAGGTATGAGCCATTGAAGCCTGGCACAAATTTCTATCAGTGGATGCAGGAATACATATGTAAAATGATTGCTCATGTTTGTTTCATTGTGGACTGCCTTCCGATAGCATCTAGTATGTCTTTAAATTATAAATTGTGAAGAGCAAGTTTTATTTGTCATATTATAACTAAGCTACCTGCTGTTTTGGAGACATTTTAGTGTGTGTATAGTGTGTATTTAAAGAGAGCATTTCTTGAAAAAGAGGAAATCAACTAACATTTATAGTAGTTATTTCTAAGATGATAGGATTCTTGGTAACTATTTTTCTTTATATTTCTTTTTTTTTAATTATGTTTTATATTTAGAAAAATTAAATTCTAATTGTTATAAGTATTAATTTGATTCTTAGAATTTATTCATCTGCATTAACTAACATCTCTTATTGATGTTATATATCTTTCTGTAATCTGCCTTACTTTTTTTGTTTTGTAGTAGGGGATTAAACCCAGGACTTGGCAGGCTGAGAAAGCGTTCTACTCAGCTTCATTCCTAGCTTGCTCTCCTATCCCTGACCACCTAGTTCTCTTCCCTAGAGGCAACTAAATCAAAAAAATATATTTATTTTTCCTTCCAGTTTTGTAGAAATTGTAGCATTTGACATGCTTTCTGTGCCTTTTCCTTTTTATCATTTGTATAATTGATTAGGTTTTTTGGCTATTTTAAATTTTTTGGAATTGTTTTCATTACAGATTATTACATTATCACATGTACAAGTAAGTCATAATCATGTCTTCTTATTACAGGTTAAGATTTTGTCTTTAGGTAATACTTAATTGAGAAGCAGTAGATAGATACTAACTACATTTTTAGTCACCAGATCTAGCCACCAGTTTGTGGGTTGTAAGAGCACATGGTTCTTTAATATGAAATTTATAAAACAACAATTTAAAAAAAGTCTTACAAAATAAGGTTTACATTTTTCACCTTCCAAATGATGGCTGTGACAGGAACTAATAATTTCAGAAAAATACTTGTGATTGGTACAGTAAACAGCTAAGTGTTTGAAAAACAGTTGTATTAATCCAGTGATGTTTCTGTTTGATTTTTTTTTTTTTTTTTTTTACAGTGAGGCCTGCCTACAATTTTCACAAATCTGTATCCTTTCAATGAAGAATTTGTTTTACACATGCATACACATACACACTACATTTTTACCTTTATTTTGATAACTCATAAAATTATTATTTTGGAAATCTTACATTCTTGTTTGTGGAAGCTTCATATTATAAAGTGTTTTGAGGGAATAATTATAATTAATAAGTTTTTCTTAGTGTGATTGATGAAAAGCAATGTGGAACAGTTTGGTTGAAATGTAAGAAGTAGCTGATGAGCAGTTAGTTGGTAGCAGGATGGATATAAAAGAAAGTTATATTAGTTGCATGCATTATGGGTGTAAGATGGTAGCTGAAGTTTATAAACAGGTTATATTGTGAAATTCATAAAGAGAATTTGTTTTGCTTTATCAACTAAAGCAAAAAGCAATAAAGATTGCTTTATAAAACTAATCTTTTATTTCACATGAATTGTTAAACTTAATTAAACTGTACAGATCCTGTAGTGTGTGTTCCATCCAGTTTCTTTATTGGAGACAGTGGAATCCCTTTGGAAGTAATAGCAGGAAGTATTTCTGCAGATGAACTTGTGACGAGAATTCACAAAGTCCAACAGGTGAGAAGGACCAGAACTGTTCTTTACAAATTAAAGGAAAATGATATATCAGAAATTTGACATTGAAATGTTTTTGGAGCCCTCTTGTTTATTCAGGAACCTGCTTATACCATTAAGCTTACTTTCTTTTTTTTTTCTTGGACAGGGTCTGACCATAATATAGCCCAGACTGGCCTCAAACATACTCTGTAGCGGCCCTCAAGTTCGCTATCCTCCCTCAGTCTTTGTGTGCTGAGATTATAGTCATGTTCCATCATGCCTAGCTTATACCATTAAACTTTAAAAAAAATTTTTTTTGGTGGTATTGGGGCTTGAACTCGGGGCCTTCACCTTGAGCCACTCTACCAACGCTATTTTTGTAAAGGGTTTTTCGAAATAGGGTCTCATGAACTATTTCCCCAGGCTGGCTTTGAACCACAATCATCCTGATCTCTGCCTCCTGAGTAGCTAGGATTACAAGTGTGAGCCACTGGCACCTAGCTACCATCAAACTTAAAAAGCAGTAAATACCACTTTTTTTTTTTTTTTTTGGCAGTTCTAGGGATCGAACTCAGGGCCTTGTCATATCAGACAAGCGCTCTACCACTGAGCTACATCCCCAAACCCAGTAAATACTATCTTCCTGGATTTTCTTTGTTTTGTTTGTTTGAGACAGGGTCTCACTATGTTGCTGAGGCTGGCCCCAATTCCTGGACTCAAATGATCCTCTTGTCTCGAGTATCTGGGACTATAGGTACACATTAGCACCCCTGACTATCTGGATTGGTTTTTGTTTTTTTGTTTTGGTGGGTCTGGGGTTTGAACACAGGGCTTCATGCTTGCAAAGCAGGCACTCTGCCACTTGAGCCATACCTGCAGTCCATTTTGCTCTGGTTATTTTGTAGATGGGGTCTCATGAACCACTAGACTCCCAATCTCAGCCTGCCAAGTAACTAGGATTACAGGTGTGAGCCAGTGGCTCCCACCTTGTTTTATTTTGTTTTTGTTTTTGTGGTACTGAGGGTTTGAACTTGTGAACTTGGGGCCTCACACTTGCTAGACAGGTGCTGTACCACTTGAGCCACTCCACCAGCCCCTTTTTGTATTGGGTATTAATCAGGTATTTTCAAGTCAGGATCTCAAACTATTTGCCTGGACTGTCTTCAAACTGCCATCTCTTGATCTCTGCCTCCTGAGTACCTAGGATTACAGGGGTAAACCACCAGTGCCTGGCTTGTTTTGTTTTTCCCAGACAGGATTTAAGGGTTTGACACTGGTAGGAATTCAAGATACTCCTGCCTCAGCCTTCCAAGTCCTAGGATTACAGGGGCCTGGATTGGTTTTGAAAATAGCATTATGAAGTAAAAAAAAAGAAAAGAAAATAGTATTATGAAGATAAGATGCCTATATATTAAGTATCACTTGAGTGACTACTTATTCTCTTTTACTCCCTATGTCAGCAACATAATGGGAGAGAGTTGCTGTCACATTAAGGCCCTAACTATACATTGCTTAATAATATTTCAAGGACTTTACATTCAGTTTCTCATTTCTGTTCACTTTGTGCAAATGGAATAAAGCTTGAAAATTTTCTCTTTGAATTCTAATGTGAAGAGAAATCATTGATCTGCTTTTAAAGAATCTTTGTATGCTGTTGACAGCTTGCAGTTGAATTCCATAATGTCATTATGTCATGTTTAGAATTAAACTTCTGACAATTTAGTACTTCTGCTCCGAAAGCTATATACATTGACTTAACTCACATTTTGGTCTCATCTGCCATGGTAAGATGGCACAATTCATATAATATAATATAAAAAAATTATATTATTGTTGTACTTAGGGAACATTGTGACATTTACAAAAGTTCTTATAAGATAGCATCTATCATATCCATCGTTCTCCCCCACCCCCCAATTCCTGAAATAGTTTCAGTATGTCTCATTTTTCCATTTTCATGCATGAGTACATAATACTTTCACTACATTCACCCTCCAACACCCTTTCCTTATATCCTTCCCCTTCCCACTGTTACTAATCTCCAGACAGGACCTGTTTTATCTTCCTGTTCTCTGTTTTTGAAAAAAGGCATTTTTGTTTGTTTAAGATACCTATACAGAAAGCTTCATTGTGACATTTCCTGAATTAGTTCATCCCCTCTATTTTTCTTTTTTTACCTTAGTCCCCTTGTTATGGTGATTTCAACAGGTTTAAATATTTTTATATTCATTCTTGTATAGAAAGTCATCAACCATATTCACCATCTTAACTTGCTTCTTTTATTCTCCCTCTCCTGTTAGTGACCTCCCATTAGTGTGACCTGTTTTTCATAATATTGCTTGTGTCTTATCTCCCACAAATGAGAGAAAACATGTGGCCTTTGTCTTTCTGAACCTGGCTCACTTCACTTAACATGATGTTCTCCAGTTGCATCCATTTACCTTCAAACAATATGGTTTCATTCTTCCTTGTTATTGAAAATATACATCTATCCCAACTTACATTACTTCGGATATCCCTAGGAGTGATATTGTTGGATCATACGGCAGTTCTATTTTTAGTTTTTTTGAGGAGCCTCCATACCGTTTTCCATAGTGGTTGTACTAACTTATATTCCTACCAATAATGTGTTAGGGTTCCTTTCCCCCACGTTCTTGCCAACATTTGCCAACATTTGTTGTTGTTTGTGTTCTTGGTGACAGCCATTCTAACCAGGTGTAAGGTGGAATCGTAATGTGATTTTGATTTGCGTTTCCTTTGTGGCCAGGGATGTTGATTGTTTCTTCATGTGTTTTTTGACCAGGCAAGATTCTTTTTTATGGTACTGGGGATCAAACCCAGAGCCTTATGCATGATAGGCAAACACTCAGCCACCTAGCTACATCCCCAGTCCAGGATGGCAACATTCTTAATATTAAATTGTAGTCCGTTTTCTCCCTAGATGCATGCATTAAAAGGTGAAACATCAGTGGCAAACAGCAGCCAGTCAGAAAGTTCACTGTCTCTTCCACCTGCTTCATTTGAACGTAACAACACTTCCGAAAACTCTCAGTCCAGAAATACAGAGCTTTGTGAGTCTCCACCTATTTCTTCTGATACAAAGTCAGATACTGCAACAGGTAATATTTTTTGTTTTTGCTTTTGTTTTTTGAGACAGAGTCTGTGTAGCCCAGGCTGGCCTTGAACTTGCAATCCTTTTGCCTCTGCCTCCTGGGATTACAGGTGTGTATACTACTGCATCCAGCTGCAGCAGGTAACATTTTTCTTTTTTTTTTGTGATACTGGGGTTTGAACTCTGAGCCTTACACTTTCTAGGTAGGTGGTCTACCACTTGAGCCTTGTCCCCAGCCCCTTTTGCTTTAGTTCTTTTTTAAACTGGGTCTCATGTTTACTTTATGATTTGGGTGCATTTGCATTTCCTGTGTACCTGGGATGACACATGCATACCACCGCACCCATCTTTTATTGGTTGAGATGGGGGTCTCATGAACTTTTTACCTGGGTTGGCCACAAACCTCCATCCTGTGAATTTCTGCCTTCCGTGTAGCTAAGGTTACAGGTGTAAGCTACTGCATCTGGCTGTGATACGTAATTTTTAACCTTAATATTGTACCTCTTGGGGCACAATAAAAGTATTCTTTTTATTTATTTTAAAGGACATGGGTTGACACTTTCAAAATTAAAGAGTTGGAAATGTAGCTTAATACTAATTTCCTAACCTGACCAAGGCATTGGGTTTGATCCCTAGCACAATTACGGTCGCTTAACTTAGAATTTAAGTTAAAAATTTAGAGTGGTTTTAATTATATATGTATTATTTAGTGGCAGAAGAAGATACGGTCAGTGAATTTATCCTTTACTCCCAGGTAGTCTGTGGTCCACAGCAGATGATTTCTTCTACTGTCATACATAGTTCAAGGAATGTCATTATGAGACTTACTAGTTCTATAACTCTCTCCCAGCCTAGAGGATTTTGAAAGGTCAAATGAACTAATGTGATTGCTAAACACATTTAAGAGAATAATTTTTTAAAATTTTTTTATGGTACTGGGGTTTAAACTCAAGGCCTCGCTTGCTAGGCAGGCATACTCTACCTCTTAAGCTACACCCTAATATATTTTCCTATTAGAATTAAAAGATAATTATGAAACAGAGTTTGTAGAGATATGATGTGTAATTCCTAAATCGTTGGTTAGAAAATGCAAAAGAGAAGGGTTTTTTTTTTTTTGCTAGTATTATTATTGTGTCTCTATTTTTTCAATGCTGGTGATTAAACCTAGGACTTCATGCATGCTAGGTGAGCTTTCTAGCACTGAGCTACAATATCAAACCTCAAAAGAGAAATTTTATGTTGTTTGCTTAGAATCGCAATAAGAATTTGTTAAAAACTTTGTATTAGGCAATATAACATTAGGTGCATCAAGAAGTTGAGTATTAGTATTCTAACAGATAACTTCACTGTAGCGGATGATAATCAGACCTTTACGAGATGGAGTTACACTCTAATAAATCCATTGTAAGTTGAGACGGTCTTAAGTAAAAAATGTTTTTAGAGCCAGATGTGGCATGGTGTGCATGACTGTACTCCCAGCATTCGGGGAGGTTAAGGCAGGAGGATTTTGAGTTTAGAGGACAGCTGGGCTATATATCAAGACCTTGTTCTGCCCCCCCCCCAAATATATTTAATACACTTAGCCTACTGAACACCATACTTTAGCAACACAGTACACTATAAAGTATCAGTGGTTTACCCTTGTCATCATGTGGCCAGCTAGGAGCTATGACTCAATTACTAGATCATTTCTTACTGCTCTATTCTTAATAAACATATATAATGTTTAAGAAACAAGATTATGTTGGGTGCCTGTGGCTCACTCCTATAATCCTAGCTACTCAGGAGGCAGAGGTTAGGAGGATTGTGGTTCGAAGCCAGCCTGGGCAAATAGTTTATGAGACCCAATCTCGAAAAAACCCATACAAAAAAGGGCTGGTGGAGTGGCTCAGCGTGTAGGCCCTGAGTTCAAACCCTAGCACTGCAAAAATAATAAAAACAAGATTAACAGATCATTTAGCTTTTACCAAGAATATGTATGCCTTTTAAAAATTACACTAAATGCAGTATTCTTATTTCTTTTTACTTAATAATTAAGGAGGAGAAAATTCAGGCCATGATACTCCTTCTCAGGAGCCTGGTGGATACTCAAATCAGAGACCTGCAGAGGACCTCACCATCAGAGTGGAAAGGTTTGCTCTTATTTTTGCAAGTAGCACTCACTTTCTTCTTCTTCTGTTTTTTAAAATTGTTCCCAGCTCACTAATTTGGATGAAAGCTAAAATTACCCAAATGAAGTTTGAGAATTCTTGGTGGACATTCTTGATCTGACCAGCTTAGTTGTATTTATAACTACTGTATTCTAGAAGTAAAGCTTTTCCGTATCTCTGAAGCTGTCAGTTAACTTTTAAGTCTGATCATGTCATTCTGAGAATCCCTTCTTTACTGGTATTTTGGTACATGTGTGCTTCTATCTGTCATTTCTGCTTTTATATCTCTGTGTTACAAGGATAAAAGGTTCAGATGGGCAAGAACTTGAGCTAATTTTACAACTGTTGAGCTGGGGTTCTGCATAAGTGAGTGTCTACTAAATGTCTTTTTTGTTGTTGTTATGCTAGGACTTGAACTCAGGGCCTTCACTTTAGGTCATTCCACCAGCCCTGTTTTTATGAAGGGTTTTTTGAGATAGGGTCTCTTGAACTATTTTCCCAGGCTGGCTTTGAACCACAATCCTCCTCATCTCTGCCTCCTGAGTAGCTAGGAATATAGGCACCTGGCATCTAAATGTCATTTTTTTAAATTAGCTGAACTAATAATTGGGTATTTTTTGATTCTTTGTAGCTTTCAGTTTAGTATTTATTTAGGTTTTTTTGGTGGGACTGGGGTTTGAACTCAGGCCTTCATGTTTATGCCTCACTATTTTGCTCTGGTTACTTGGGAGATGGGGGGAGGGGGGTCTCTGGGCTGGCCTTGAACTTCAGTCTTCCCAATCTCAGCCTCCCAAACTAGCTGAGATTATAGGCATGAACCACTAGTGTCCAGCAATAAAGACATTTTCAAATACTAGTTATGTGCTGTTCTGACACCCAAGTATAAATTCAAACAGTAAGATTATCTAATATGTAATCTATATTCAGATTTCCCCAACTGTCACAATAACATTCTTTACAAATTTTACCCTGATTTAGATCCAGTCAAGGATCTATTTAATTTAGTCTTACGGAACTCAAAACATTTCCCTTGTGTTCTGTTTGCATTTTTCATGAATTGGACATTTTTTTTTGAGTGTAGGCTAGTTGTTTCTAGAATGTCCCTTGATCCAGTTCCTTTTCCATTATTACTAGATTCTGGTTAAGTTTTCATAAGAACATTACCTAGCTAATGTTTTGTCCTTACCATTACTCATATCAGGAAGCAATTAATATCACATGTATGCATTATTGGTCATGTTAAGTTTAGTTATTTGGTTAGGACAGTGTCTATCATCATTGTAAAAGTACCTTTTTCCCTTTCTAATAAAGTGTGATTCTTTGAAACAGTGAATATCCTGGTTTTCAAAAACTTTCACTCAATGCTTTTGGCATCTACTGATTTTTGCTTGAACCTATTTTTCATTGGTAGTTAAAAATGGTGTTTCCCCCTAATTTTATTACATCTAAATTTATTAGCTAGCATTCTTCTTTACAGAAATACTTTGATCTACATCTACTTCCACTCCCCCCTACCTTTTTTTCTTCTTTTTTAGTTTTTTTTCTTTTTTTTCTTCCTTGTTCCCTTATCAAAGAACAGACAATGATGCACCCTACAAGCCTTCCTAATACTCCTTTTTTCCCTCCCTCCCTTCCTTCCTTTCTCCCTCCTTCCCTCCCTCTCTTGTTTCTTTCTATACTCCTTGATTATGGCTTTCCTTCCTAATATAACCATTATCCTAATCTAACATCATAGATTAGTTTTGCTTATTTTTTAACTTTATAATGTGATCATACTGTATATACTTTTTGTGTTTGATTCCCTTTGTTATTATTACTATTATTTATTTATTTATTGGTGGGACTGGGGTTTGAACTTAGGGCTTCACACTTGCAAAGGAATTGCTCTATCCCTTGAGCCACACCTTCAGTCCGTTTGATTTCCTTTGATGAATGTTGTATTTGTGAGGCTCATCTGTGTTGTGTATGGCAATAGTTGGTATACTCCCATTATGTAAAATCCTGTTTGATTATACTATGACTTACTTATCAAATGCACCTTTTTTTTTTCTTGGCAGTACTGGCGTTTTTAACTCAGGGCCTCATGCTTGCTAGGCAGTCTCAAGCCCTTTTTCCTTTAGTTATTTTTCTTACACAGTCTCATGTGTTTGGCCAGACTGGTCTGGACCATGATTCTCCTGTTTATACTTCCTGGGACAGGTGTGCACCACCACAACCAACTGTAGGTTGAGATGGGGGTCACACTAAATTTTTGCCGAGGCTGACCTCTAACCAGTCTCCCTAGTAGCTGGGATTACAAACATGAACGATAGCTCCCAGTTTACCCAGTCTCCTTTTGCTGAGTATTTGGTTATTTTCAGTTTGGGATTGTCATTAATAGGGTTACAAAAAGAATATTCTTACACATGTCTTGGCGAACATGTGTATACATCTCTTTCAGGAATATAAAAGAGTGGGAATTTCTGTTACAACTGTTAATCAGTTTTCAGAAATGGCTATGTGAATTTATACTACCTTCTTAAAATATTATTAAGACATTTAAAACATCCTCCTTTTTCTCTGTTATATTCTTATTTCTCTTACTATCAGTTTTGATGTACAAATTGTCCCAAAGTTGGCTAGTGGAATTCCTTCCATACAGGTTTTAGGACCTTTTGACATGTGTTCATTGTTCTTTGAGTATCCCTTTGTTTGCTGACACAAGTTATTTACCTGAGTTTTAACAATGCATACACCTGTGTAACCAAGTCCCTTTCAGAGAAAGTATACTAATTTTTTAAAATGTAGAAATAATTTACATACCTTAAAATTCAAGTGTATATTCAGCAAGTTTTGGTATATTGACAAGGTTGTATAAGCATTATCACTATCTGATTTTAGAATTACTCATTTTTAATCGTTGGACTTCTTACAGTTGAGAATCAATTTGTTGCTGTTATTACTAGTTTTTTGCTTTTGTTTTTACCAGCTTTGTGCTGTCCTGCTCTTTACTTATATGTAAGTGGTAATATTTGTTTGAAAATTTATTTATGATATATTTTTTAATGGTACTTGGGTTTGAACTCAGGGCCTTGCACTTGCTAGGCAGGTACTGTACCACAGCCCCAACTCTATTTGTGTATTTTTAAATCAGTATTCAATAAATCAGAAGAAAAGGGGTAACACTAATAGTAAATAGGAGATACGACACTTACTTAAAGTTGGAGCTAGGCTTCTGATGGGTTCCCATTAACTCATGGATTTCTGTAGGGCAGGAGACAGGCAAATAATTGTTGCTATACCTTCAGGAGATTTTCTTTTAGATACCCATATTTCTTGAGTTATTTTAGCTAAATAAAACCATTAAATGTGCTTTATATGAATATCATGTGTCTCGTATTTGTTAACCAGACTAACTAAAAAACTTGAAGAAAGGAGAGAAGAGAAGAGGAAAGAGGAAGAAAAGGTAAAGTTCATGCACTGAGCATTACTTTATTCTTATTCTAAGGGAATACTAAATAATTATTATGTGTAATTTGGCAGATCAAGGATGGCTTCCTAGTTATACTTCAGTGTTGTAGCATAGTGAAGGGAATTATCTGTATACTCATATCATAGTGTGTTTGAATGCAGAACTCTGTGCTTGCTGTGCAGGCTCTCTACCACTTGAGCCATACCTCCAGCCCATGTTTTTATTTATTTATTTATTTATTTAAATACATTATTATTGTACGGGGGGCGGGGTACATTGTGACATTTATAGAAGTTCTTAGAACATATCATAGGTCATCCCCTTCATCATTCTCCTTTATCCCCCCACCATGGTTGGTTTTTTGAGACAGGGTCTAACTTTATAACCCAGGCTGCCTTGAACTCACAATCTTCTTGACTCAGCCTCCCAAGTGTCAAGATTACAGACATGTACCACCATTCCTGACCATTTATGTTCTTTTTATAAATTGGTAGGAATAAACTGAGTCATCTTTTTAACCTCTGCAATGAATCTGTTACACTAAGTATGTAAAGGGATTTTAACTAAGATTGCTTGAGTTAAGGCAGGTCAGATTTTTAGTTCCTCTTTGTGAAAAAAAAGTGTGTAGACATTTGGCTGGATTGTCCCCCTCATGTTGCTGCGTTCTAGTGCACCATTTCGTCTTTCTCACATGTGCACCTAACTGCATCATATCCTTGATGTTCTAATATAGATACATTATTATTACCTTTGAACCAAATAAAATTTTGCCGTGTTATCCTTGGAGGAGGGTACCATAATAATTGCCTACAAACCAAAGGCCTATCTGCCTGCCATCAGATTACAGACTATATTATAGTTGTAACAGCACCACTGGCAAAAATTTATAGATTTGATAGACATTTAACCATTAACTATACTGTTAACAAATTCTACCATACTTTTAAATTTTATGAAATTTTTTTTTTCTTGTAGTGGGGTTTGCACTTAGGAACTTGTGCTCACTAGGCAAGTACTCTACTACTTGAACCACACCTCAGCCCTTTTTGCTTTTGGTTAATTTTTGGATAGGGTTTGGTTTTTTTGGGGGGGGGTTGGGTAACTGAGTTTGAACTCTGGGCTTTGCACTTGCAAAGCAGGTGCTCTATGTCTTGGTCCACACCTCTAGTCCGTTTGATTTGGTTATTTTGGAGATGAAGTCTCATGAACTGTTTGCCCTAGCTGGCCTTGAGCCGTGATCTTCCCTCCAAGCCCTCTAAGTAGCAAGGATTATAGGGATGAGCCACCAGTGCCTGGTGGGTTTTGCTATTTTTGCCTAGTGCTGGCATTGGACCCTACCTATGGCCTCCTGTGCAATTGGGAAGATGAGCCTGTGCTACCATGCCCATCTTGTTTTCAGATTTTACCTGGGCTAACCTTAAATTGTGATTCTTCCAGTCTCTGCCTCAAAGTTAGCTGTGATTACAGGCATGAGTCACCATGCCCAACTGAAGTTCTGTTTTTTTGGTTGCACCTTATGATGAGATTTCCCTATACTCAAAATAATGTCTGGGAAAAATCATCAAAAAATGGTTGTTCATAAAGCTTACTTTTTCTTTGATTCAGAGGGAGATTAAGAAGGAAATTGAGAGGAGAAAAACTGGAAAAGAAATGTTGGACTACAAAAGAAAACAAGAAGAAGAATTAACAAAAAGAATGTTAGAAGAAAGAAACAGAGAAAAAGCAGAAGATAGAGCAGCTCGAGAGCGAATAAAACAGCAGATTGCATTGGTGAGCCTTAAGTTTATTTAGTCATTCATTTACTTCTTTAGAGACTTGTGGCTTCAAAACTGGATCTTGAGGGTTTTTTGGTTTTTTTTTTTTTCCTCTTTTGTGGTACTGAGGATCTTCAGTGTATGCCAGGGCCTCATGTATGCTAGGCAGATACTCAACTGCTGAGGTACTTCCCCAGCACCTCTTAGGTGTATTTTTAATGTTTGACTCCAGGACATTTGTGAAATTATTTTTCTATACACAGTGGCTTTGGATTGCCATCAGACAATGCACACAAAAATAGTATATTTTAGTGACAGAGTGGCTCAAGGTTGGCAGAGTGGCTCAAGTGGTGTAAAGCATCTGCTAACAAGTGTGAGACCAGAATACCAATGCTGTGCTTCCCTTTATTAAAATTATATATTGAATTTAAAAAGATTAAAGTTCAGAGATAATTTTTTAAAAACTAATTTTTCTCCATGTTGTACAATTAATTTTATCAGGTTAAAAAGGCAGCTTTTAGAGATTCCATAGAAAACAAACTTAAGAATTGGCTACCCAGCAGTCTCATTACAAGCATTATCTTTTGAGACTTTAAGAAGATTCGGGCACATCATAAAGTTTAAGATGATTTTGAAGCAATTGCTTCAGAGGATCCCTACCTTACCATTTTTATTCATTTGGTTATTCAACAGGTATTTATTGAACATCTGCTATGCCAGACCTTGTTCTAAGGGATATAGTAGTGAGCAAATTCATGTGTAATAGTATCTCTGGTTCTATATCAGGAATGATTAAAGTTTGTGTATTGCTTTAAGAAATTTCATGCATATATGAGTTCTTGTGTTTGGAAGTGTGTGACTAGCTCATTCTGACAGTTAAAGATAATTGATATCTACTGATGTTTTAATTGTAAGGATCGGGCAGAGAGAGCTGCTCGTTTTGCAAAGACAAAGGAAGAAGTAGAGGCTGCCAAAGCTGCTGCCTTGCTATCCAAACAGGCAGAAATGGAAGTCAAGAAGGAATCTTATGCACGAGAAAGAAGGTACTTCACTCTTTTGGGGGAAGAGGGATAACTGGGGTTTGAACTCAGGTCCTTTTGCTTGCTAGGCCAGTACTCTACCACTTGGGCCACACCTCCAGCCCAACAAGGTACTTCCTGCTGTATTTCATCCTGAAATAATTGGTATGTACATGGGAACTGGTTTATATTTCACTGTTGGGCAATTAACAGGTGTTTTTTTTTTTGTAGTCAAAAATTACTTTTTAAGAATACTCTAAAAAATTATGAAATACTTGGTAAATTTAGCAAAAGTCTAAATTTTGTACAGTAAAAGTGTAAAATATTGAAAGAATTAAGACCTAAATACATGGGAAAGTACTCTGTGTTCATACCTCAGAAGACTTAATATTGTTAAGCTGGTGCTACTCCCCAAACTAATCTATTGATCCAATATAATCCCTATCAAAATTCCAACTGGCTCTTTGTGTAGAATTTATAATCCTGAAATTCATATGGCAATGCAAGAGAACCAGAATGTTCAAAATAATCTAAAAAAAAAGAAGAAAAACTGGAGTGAGTACTTAACACTTCTCAGTTTTAAAACTTACCACAAAGCTACAGAAACCATGACATTATTATTTATTTACTGAGTTGAGTCTTCAGAAATCAACCCGGCATTTATTATCTTTTCTTTTTTTTTTTTTTTTTTTTGTGATGGGACTGTGGGGATTTGAACTCAGCCTTGGTAGGCAGGCACTCTACCATTTGAGCCATACCCACCAGCCCTTTCTTGTATTGGCTGTCTTTGAGATAGGGTCTTGTAAACTATTTTCCTGGGGTGACTTCTAACTGTGATCCTCCTGATCTTTGTCTCCTGAGTAGCTAGGATTACAGGCATGAACCATCAGCACCCAGCTGTGCAGAAGCTTTTTATTTTCTTATAGTCCCATTTGTCCACCCTTTCTCTTAGGAAGTTATTACCTATGCCTGTATGTTCCAATGTATTCCCTATTCTTTCCTGCAGTAATTTCAAAGTTTCAGGCTTTATATTGAGGTCTTTGATCAATTTTTAATTGATATTTGTACAAGGTGAAAGACAGGGATCTTGTTTCAGTCTTCCAGATGCAGACACCCAGTTTTCCCAGCAACATTTGTTGAAGAGATTATCTTTTCTCCATCATATGTTTCGGTTGCTTTTGTTAAAAATCAGGTGGCTGGGGGCTGGAGGTGTGGCTCCAGCAAGAACAAAGCCTGAGTTCAAACCCGACTTCCACAAAAAAAAAAAAGGTGGCTATAGTTGTGTGGATTTATGTTTGGGTGTTCTATTGTGTTCCACTGGTCTTTGTGTCTGTTTTGTGCCATGCTGTTTTTATTGCATATGGTTTCTTTTTCTTTTTCTTTTTGCCTCTGTAGTATAGTTTGAAGTTGGGTATCGTGATACCTCCAGCATTGCTCTTTTTACTTAGTATTGCCTTGGCTATTTGCAGTCTTTTGTGCTTCCATATGAACTTTATGTTACATTTTTCAACCTCTGTGAGGAATTTTGATGGGTATTACATTGAGCATGTAAACTGCTTTTGGTAGAATAGCCATTTTCATCATATTGATTCTGCTGATCCATGAGCATAGGAGATCTTTCTATCTTCTGATGTCTTCAGTTTCTTTCTTCAGCGATTTATAGTTTTGTTATAGCGTATTTAAGTGTAGGGTATTTTATTCTTTTGAGGCTATTGTAAGTGGGATTGTTTTCCTGAATTCTTTATTAGTTGTTCATTGTGGGGTTTCTTTTGGTTAACCTACTCCCTGTTCCCATTCACAATACAGAGCCTGGGCCGAGGTGTATATGGGATAGGTTTACTTTGCCTCCTCTTTCTATATGTTCGTTATAGAACACAGCCCATGGCAATCACTAGGAAGCTTGTTGTGGAGTTTTTTTGTTTTGGATTTTTTTTGGTGCTAGAGTTTGAACACAGGGCCTCACACAAGGCAGTTGCTGAACCATTTGAGCCACTCTGCCATCCTTGTTTTTTGTTGGATATTTTTGAAATAGGGTTTCTCTAACTGTTTGCCCAGACTGACTTCAAACTGCTATCCTCTTGATCTCTACCTCCTGAGTAGGTAGGATTACAGGTGCAAGCCACTGGCTCCTGGCCATTTGTTGTTGATATATTGAAAAGCTTCTGTTTTTTGTATATTGATTTTGTATCCTGCTACTTTGCTGAAGGTGAATGATGTCTAGGAGTTTTTTGGTAGAGTTTTCCAGGTCTTTTAGATATAAGATCACGTCATCTGTGGATAGGGACAATTTGACTTCTTCCTTTCCTATTTCAATTGCTTTTATTTCTTATTCCTACCTTACTGTTTGGCTAGGAATGCCAAAACTATGTGAGAGTGGGTAGAGTGGACACCCTTGTTTCTTTCCTAACTTTAGAGGAAATGCTTTCAGTTTTAGATAGAGGTTTGTTGTAGATAGCCTTTTTTATGTTGAGGTTTATTCCTTTTTTTCCTAGTTTCATCAGAGTTTTTTTTTTTTTGGGTGGGGCGGGGCAACACTGGGGTTTGAACTCAGGGCCTCATATTTGCTAGGTAAGTACTTTTACTGTTTGAGCTACTCTGCCAGCCTCATCAGAGCTTTTATCAAGAAAGAATGCTGAATCTTGTTAAAGGCTTTTTCTGCATGCATTGAGATGATTTTTGTCCTTGTTTCTGTTTATATGCTGTGTTACATTTATTGATTTGCATAAGTTGAACTATCTCTGCATCCCTGGAATGAAACTGACCTGATGATCGCAGATGATCTTTTTGATATGTTGTTGAATTTGGTTTGCCAGTATTTTATTGAGAATTTTTGCATCTGTGTTCATTAAAGAGATTGGCTTATAATTCTCTTTTTTTTGTTGTGCCTTTGTCCAGTTTTGGAATGAGTGTAATACTGGCTTCATAGAACCAGTGTGGTAGTGTTTCTTCCCTTTTCTTTTTCATGGAAAAGTTTGAGGATGTTGATATTAGTTCTTAAAAGATCTGGTAGAATTCAGCAGAGAATCCATTAGGTCCTGGACTTCACTTTTTCAGGAGACTCTTTGTTGCTGCTTCAATTTTATTACTTGTTATAGATATATTTAGGTGATTTAAATCCTCTTGGTTCAATTTTGGTTGGTCATATGCATCTAGAAATTTATCCATCTTACCACAACAGAATAAAACTAGAACTCAGCAACAAAAACAATAGCAGAAAATACTCCAAACACCTGGAGACTGAACAGCATATTGCTGTATGACCAGTGAGTCATCAAAGAAATAAGGGAGGAAATCAGAAAGTTCTGGAATCTAATGAAAATGAAAACACAAGCCGGGCACCAGTGGCTCATGCCTGTAGTCCTAGCTACTCAGGAGGCAGAGATCAGGAGGATCATGGTTCAAAGCCAGCCTGGGACACATAGTTCGAGAGACTCTATCTTGAAAATACCCAATACAAAAAAGGGCTGACAGAGTGGCTAAAGTGGTAGACCGCCTACCTAACAAGCATGGGGCACTGAGTTCAAGCCCCAGTACCGCCAAAAAAAGAAAAAGAAAACACAACCTACTAGACCTATGGTCACAACAGCAAAGGCATTACCAAGGGGAAAGTTTATAGCTATGAGTTACCTACGTTATAAACACAGAGAGATCTCCAATAAGTGACCTAATGCCAAATCTTAAACTCCTAAGAGAACAAGTTAAACCCACAACAAGCAGAAGGAGAGAGTAAAAATAAAGGCTAAAATCAATGATACAGAGATAAAAAAAACAAAAAATCATACAAATAGTCAACACAACAAAAAGTTGGTTCTTTGAAAAGATAAATAGGAGCAATAAACCCTTAGCTAGTCTAACTAAAAGGAGGTGAGAAAAGTCCCAAACTAATAAAATTAGAGATGAAAAAAGGGTTATCACAGCAAATGTCAATGAAACCCAGAGGATCATTAGGGAATACTTTGAAAACTTATACTCAAATGAATTGGAAAATCTAGAAGAAATGGATAAATTTCTAGATGCATATGACCATCCTATTAGTAACATTATTTATAGTACCCAAAATATGATAACCTAAAGATCTATCAACTGAACAAAATGTATATCCCATACAAAGAAATATTATTCAGCAATAAAAGGGAATGAGAAACTGATACATTCATGGATGAACTTTGAAAACATAATACTACATAAAAGAAAAGTTACAAGAGATGTTGCTCAGACTGTAGCACACTTGCTATATAAGCCTGAAGCCCTGAGTTCAAATCCCATTCCCACACACAAAAAAAGGAAAGAAACCAGTTATAAAAGATGCAGGTTCTTTCATATAAAATGCCTGAAACAAGCAAATCCACAGAGAGACCATAGATTAATGGTTGCCAGGGTTCTGGGAATGAAGAATGGGAAGTGATTGCTAATGGGTTCAGGGTTCTTTTTTGGGATGATAAAATGTTTTGGAATTAATGGTAATAGTTGCACAATTCTGGTTTTGTTTTTTGTTAGTTTTTTTGAGACAGGTTTGACTATGTAGCCTAACCTGGCCTTAACCTCGAGATCCTCCTGTCTCCAAAGAGTGTTGGGATTACAGGCATGTGCCGCAGGGCTGGCTACCCTTGGGAATATATTAAAAACCACTGAATTAAAGGGGTAAATTTTAGTTAATGTGAATTGTATCTTAGTATAGATGTTACTAAAAGTAATAAATGAGCTGGGTGGCAGTAGCTCAAACCTATAATCCTAGATACTCAGGAGGTAGAGATGAGAGGAGGATTGCAGTTCAAAGCTAGCCCAGGTGCAAATAGTTCTAGAGACCCTATCTCAAAAATACCCAACACAAAACAGGACTGATGGAGTGGGTCAAATACTAGACCACCTGCCTAGCAAATCTTGAGGCCCTGAGTTCAAACCCCAGTAAATGCCAAAAAAAAAAAGTAATAAATGAAAAACTCTTGATATTGTGAAAGCTGTTGTCATTTACATTTCCACTTTCATTTCCTTTGATTTTTTAATGGTACTGTTTAAGAATATGTAGACGTAAAGATGCTGACTTTAATTTTATTTTGTAGCACCATTACAAGAATTCAATTTCGTCTGCCTGATGGTTCTTCCTTTACAAATCAGTTTCCTTCTGATGCTCCTCTAGAAGAAGCAAGGCAATTTGCTGCACAGGTGAATTTATGTCTTAAGTTATAGTGAAAATAAATACATAGATTATTTAACTATTGGAGGAGAAATTTCAAAGCAAAACTTGAAAGAATGTGAGTAAATGATGAGTTACCTTCAGCAGAATGGCACAAGACACTTCTGAGATAATGTGGAAGTTGCCATGTATTATACTATACTATACTAATATTATATTATATTAGTGCATGTGGAAGCAACATATCTGCTGTGCAAAAATAGGACTGTGCTGACATTTATACTTTCGAAACTCTTCTCACTGGTTACTATAGTCAGCAGGAGGCATGAAAGGCAAATGGTTTCTCAAAGGTCTAATCCGAGAGAGTTGTTCCATACCCCTGAAAAGAAAGTAGCTTTTCTCTCTTTATTTTCTGCAGGTTGCTTACAGGTTACACATTTTCTCACCATCTGCCTGTTGACCTCTTTTATCTTTGGGATTTCAAGTGTGTGCCACCACAACATCTAACTTGTTTTTTGAGATAGTCACACTAAGATACTGCTCAGTCTGGCCTGGAGCTATGATCCTTAACATCTGTGTTACAGCAGGACACTTACTAAGTCATCTAATTATTGCAGCAACTTTAATACTTTCATCTGTTAGCCCTGTTTTCAGCCCTTATTACATTTATTATTATAACTCTTTTAACTATCCTTGAATTTGCTATAGCCCTAATTCAAGCTTACGTATTTAGTCTTCTGGTTAGTAGCTTTATATCTCACGTAGCTGAGGTTACAGACATATGACACTACACCTGGCCCTCTCAATTATTTTTTATTCTTTGATTCCATACTCAAAGTGGATTCTGAGCATCCAGTGTTCTTTAGGCCCTCAGTTCATGTGTACCAATATTTTTCTCATCTGTATAACTTCTAGATTAAAATTAGGAAGTTGGATGTTGGATTCAGATGTTTCTGCTAAACTTCTTCACCATATTTAGTTTTCTCTTTTACATGTGGATCCCAAAGCAGTTTACTTCAAAAGTTCTTGGCCTTCATGCACTGCTGAGCTGGGCTGGACAGTGTGAAAACTTAGTTTAAGAGCCCTTTTCCTATAAGCTTTAGTAGAACCTACCCCAAGTAGGCTATTTTATTGGTCTTTTATCTTCGGACCTCCCACTAATTGTCACCTGCCCTCAGTTTTACTGCTTTTTCTACAGGTAAATGAAAGAGGGGTGATGTGAGGAAAAGATCTATGCTATTAAAACTCCTTGATATAATGACCTGAGTTTTATATTTTTGTTTGTCCTAATGTTAAAGTGACAATTAAGGATGTATATGATCTAGTTTTTTAAAAAATATGAAAAAATTAGCCTGTTTCTTTGGAATCTTCTAGGGAAATACAAACAGTAGCCTTAAGATTTTACAAATATAGGTGATTTTAAATTGTGAGTGTGATGGTGGTGTTGCCCAGTATAAGTTACTGAATGTGGGGTTATATGTATGATACGGGTTAATTGTGGACCACTTGTGCCTGAAGGTAGGAGGAGGCTAACTCTTGAAGTATATACAAGTATACCTCAGAGATGTTGAGGGTTTGGTTCCACACCACTGCAATAAAGCAAATACCATAATAAGTCACACAGATTTTTTTGATTTCCCAGTGCATTGTAATGTTTTGGGCTGGAGTTATAGCTCAGTGGTGAAAGCACTTGCCTAGCATGTGCTAGGCCCTGGGTTTGAGCCCAATCACCACAAAAGAAGGGGGAAAAAAGTTTTGTTTATACTATACTGTAATGTAGTATACTGCAGTTGTGTTCAGTAATGTTATGTCTTAAAAAAAAATAATACAAAGGTGTTTAAAAAAAAAAGTACCAAATATGACACAGAGACATGAGCAGTACTATTAGAAAATGAGCAGTACTGTTAGACTTTCTGACATAGGGTTGCCACAAACCTTCAGTTTGTAAAAAGGCAAAACAAATACCTGCCAAGCATAATTAAACAGAGCACAATGAATCAAAAAGAATGCCTTTGTATTAACAGAAATAATGGTCTAGTCCAGTTTTTTATTTTATTTCTTTTGAGATAGAATCTCACTAGGTAGCTCAGGCTATTACAGATTTTTAATAGGAAGAACCTGTAATCCAAATGTATATTTGTGAGACATTAACATAAGTTTATCCAATGGTAATGAAAATCCTAGTGATGAACTACAGCTATACTTAAAGGTAACACATGATTGTCTTTTTTTTTTTAATGGTGCTGGGGCTCAAAGCCAGGGCCTTGTGCATGCTGGGCACACTCTGTACCACTGTGCTATACCCAACCCATATTTGTCATTTTTAATTCAACCTTATTTAATATCATTTTTGAAACTATATTCTTGCTATTTTGTGGTCATCTTTAAGTTATAAATGCCTTTATGTTGGTTTTTTTGGCGATACTTTTTGAAACACCGATTTTGTCAGTGATTTTTGAGATTACATTTAAACAAACTTTTTTTTAAATGTTTTTGGTGGCATGGGGTTTGAACTCAGGGCCTCACACTTGCTAGGCAGGCGCTCTTACCACTTGAGACACTCTACCAGCTCTTTTTTGTGTGATTTTTTTCTTTTTTTTTTTGAGATAGGGTCTCCTGAACTATTTGCCTGCAGCTGGCTTTAAACTGTGATCCTCCTCATCTCTGTCTCCTGAGTAGCTAGGATTACAAGTGTGAGCCACCAGCACCTGGCTTACACTTTTTTAATTAAGGCAAACTTAATTAAAGCGGTTGTTTTGGATGCATGTATTACCTTACTTATAAAAGGCACCTTTGTAAGGTTTTAAAACTTGTTATGTTACAGACTGTCGGCAACACTTACGGTAATTTTTCACTAGCAACCATGTTTCCCAGGAGGGAATTTACCAAAGAAGATTATAAAAAAAAATTATTGGATTTGGAGCTTGCCCCAAGTGCTTCAGTGGTACTCTTGCCAGTATGTATATGTGCATATAAAATAAATATTTTTTCTGCTCTTACGGTTATTTTTGTGTGTTCTACACTAGGTCATTTCTTATAATTAGAAGGTAAAGGTATATGGTGGATAATTAAAATCCAAATTATTGAAAATTAAACCAATTTATTGTGTAGTTATCCTTTGATTTATATGTATTGCTAATAGTCTTAACAAGCACTAAATGTAGTTTAATTTCAACTTTTTTCCTTATCTACTTTTGTAAAAAAAAAAAAGCCAATAGAAAAAATAAGGAAATTAGTTATGTAATCTACAGACTTAATGTCTTTTACTTCTGTATAACTATACTGCTTATTATTAAAATATTTTAACATAAAATTAGTTTTCTGGAGGGGATGAACCAATTCAGGATATGATACATATACACATGGAAATATCCTAATGAAACTCCCTGTATAAATAATTTAAACAAAAATGTCTCTTTTTCAAAATAAAGAACAGGAAGGTAAGACAAGTCCTGTCTGGGGGATGGTACCAGTGGGAGGGGAGAGGATATAAAGAAAGAGTGTAGGAGGGTGAATATGGTGGAAATATTGTGTACTTGTGTGAAAATGAGAGGAGAGGAGGATAAAGGAGAATGATGGAGGGGGTGAATTTAACTATGATATATTGTAAGAACTTTTATAATTTTGTCACAGTGTATCCCCAGTACAACAATAATAGGATAACTTAAAAAAATGAATTCATTTAAAATATTTCAGGGGAAAAAGCATTACTTTTCAAATATGTTATCTCATATGATCCTCACAACAATATTTTAACCTCTGATAAAAAAAGAGGCTCATGAACTAGATCTATGGAACAAGACACAATGAAATGCACTAAAAACTGTTGAACAATTCAGGTAGGGGGAAAGGACAAGAAAGAATAATAGAGAGGGGTTGACTCTTTAAAGTACAATACATGTTATGGTAAAATACCAAGGCAAAACCCATTGAACTGTGAATCAGACACTAAAACAGTGAAGGATAGGAATGTAAAACAGGGAGGGGAATAGTGGGGGTGGATAAACGAAGAGGGTAAAGGAGGGTGAATGTGGTTGAGGTACTTTTTATATATGTATGAATGTGGAACATTGAAACTTAAGTTATTTTGAGAAGGGGAGTGGGAGAAGAGGGAGAATAATAGAAGGGATGAACCAAACCAGATTATTATATATGTATATATATACACAAATACACACACACACACACATATATATATGTGAATGAAAATGTCACAAGGAACCCCCTCCATATAATTATATTAATGAAAAGGTTTTTTTTTAAAAGAAAGAAAAAAGGGTCAGAAAGTTTAGATGATGCTGAGGTCTCATCTTAAGTCCCACAGCTAGATGAGAGCATGGGTCTTCTGTATGGTAATTTAGTGCAGTGACCTCTTTCCCCCCCACACCCCACCCCCGCAACCATTCTAAATCAGATCCCTTCTGTCCCCAACAAACAGTTAAGTACTATAATCAGGATTTCATTGTGTTTGGAGGTTTTTTTTTTTTTTTTTGCAGTACTGGGGTTTGAACTCAAGGCCTCACGTACTAGGGTTTAAACTTGAGCTACTCTGCCAGCCTTTTCTTTTTGTGTAGGGTATTTTCAAAATAGGGTCTCCTGAACTGTTTGCCTGGGCTATTTACCGTGATCCTACTGATCTCTGCCTCCCAAGTAGGATTACAGGCATGAGCCACTTGCACCCAGGTAAAAAAGTGCTTTCTTGTCAAAGTTGTTAGTTTCATTGTAAAAATTAATTTTATTAAAAATAATTGGTTCAGTTCACCAATTAAAAACTAGTTGTATATTAGAATTACTCTTTTAAAAACCAGAGCGCTGGGCTGGGAATGTGGCTCAAGTGGTAGAGTACTTGTCTAGTAAGAATAAGGAACTGAGTTTGGGTTCAAATCCCAGTATACCACAAAAAAGCAAACCACAAAAGGTTAATTTTACCTTCTTGGATCAAGTGAAAATAAGTAGGACCTTATAGTCAGCAGAACGTTTTCCAGATAAAATACGCATCTAGAATCTTGAGTGTGATGTGATTGTGTTGATGCAGACTTTAGATTGTTTATTTTTTAATTTCTAGGCAGGACGCCCAACTACATCCATTGTACACTCTTCCAGTGGAGATATTTGGACGTTATTGGGGACAGTACTTTATCCATTCCTTGCCATCTGGAGATTGATTAGCAATTTCTTATTTAGTAGTCCTCCTCCTGCACAGACTTCTGGGAGAGCAACATCATCAGAACCTTTAAACCCTGCATCATCTAGCAAATCAGAAAAAAGGTATCTGTTTTTGTTTTTCTCATTTGTAAAATAAGCAAGTAATGCCCAGTACTTTTTTTGAAGTGAAAAATTGTGTTACGGGTACTTTGCCTACTTTCTGTGTATAGCCTCACCAGTTCCAGTGGTGAAGAGAAAAAATCCAAATGTTCTGGAACTTTCATCTCACCTAGAAAGCTCACTACCCAACTTTCTAAAACCTATTTTATGAAAAGCAACTTTACCTCTGCTTTTTTTTTTGTTTCACTCATTGAAACAGTTCTTTACCCCATAATTATTAATTGTTAATTATAAAACTTAAGATGAGAGAAAACTAAGTTGAACATTAGCAATTCTCATGTTTTACATCATCAGGAATGTAATAACTTTCTTGCTAACCATATATTGCCTAATAAGAAAGTTCATTCCATTAATTACTCAGGGTCTTCTTGCATAATTTCTTTAACAGAATCATTGTGCTTAGATAATTTTCCATCGTGGTGGTGTTTTGATTATTGGATGAGTCTTGTCTGGGTCATTCAAAGAAGGACCAAATTAAGGAAAGTAGATACTTTTTTGAAATTGGTGCCTCCAAAACTGAATGTGTGGTATGTGCCTATAATCCTAGCACTCAGGTGGCTAAGGCAAGAGGATTTCAGGTTTGAGGCTGAGCTACGTAATGAGATCATGTCTCAAAAAATAAAAAATAAAAAGAATGAAAGAAAAAAGTGTTATTATTTTGAACTAATCCTTTAATTAAGGGACTCTACTTTTATTGCAGATATCAAAGATTTAAGCTATAGACATTGACAATTTTAGCTCTGATGTGCATATTGCAAGAAGTATTGTCCTAGAAGGTGAGATTATACTCCCTTCTAACAAATAGTATCATAATTTATTGTATACTTGCTTCTGTTAAGCATTCTGTTGGGCCTTTAATAGGCACTATAGCAAATCTCAAATCAGTGTTACGTATTGATTAATCTTAAGTATTGAAAAATCCTACACATGAATAAAATAAAAATTAAAAAAAAAAAGAAAAATCCTTGCCTCTGTCTGCTATCACTTGATTCTATGGATGGTGATTTATATAAACAATGTGATAGGCTGATTTTACCTTTATCTTGACTTATTTCTTGAAGATTAGGTAGCAAGACCAATAACATCAAGTTGAGGACAAAAGGAAATTATCTTCAGTCTTAGAATGGCATTCAAACTAGGTCTTTTTTGTACTAAATTTTTCAAATCTGAGCAGTGGGTAGAAGCATTTAACTGTGTAAGAACTGTAATATAGAACAGCTTGCTATTGAGTTTTTAAAATACTTTTCCAGATAAGAGAAAAGCTCTTGGGTTGGGGTAAAAGATGGAATGTGTATCTAAAAGGGTGAAACCATCTTTTTGGGTTTTTTTTGGTGTGAATGGAGTTTTGAACTCAGCCTTTGTACTTACAAAGCAGGCACTTTACCACTTGAGCCACACCTCCATCCCATTTTGCTCTGGTTATTTTGGAGATGGGGATCTCATGAACTGTTTGCCCTGCCTGGCCTCAAACCACCATCCTCCTGATATCTGCCTCCCAAGCAGCTAAGATTACAGGTGTGAGCCACCAGCACCCGACTTAACAAGGGTGAAGTTTTGTTTCCCTCCTCTATTCTCATAACATTCTTGTTGCTTTAGTTTGACCCCTACTTCCTTCCTGTTTTCAGATGAGGAAATTGTTTGTTCTAAGTCAGTTTTACAGATTTCGAAGGAATTAAAAATTACTGATTGATCATTTCTTCATTTAGGCTATGACTGCAGTTTTGGATTAGCTTCCAGGGTGCAGTGTAAGTTATGTCTTAGGAGGAGGATCAGTCTGCATAAGTGAAAAAGGAATGAGTAGTTAGCAAATGGTCATGCTCTTTTAAAGCTTAATAAATCATCAAGACTTAGAAATGGAAAATACCATTTGGCTGGTGTGACTTAGAGAATTGATGAAGTTTAACTACCAAAGTAATAAAATCTAGTAATCTCCTTACTGTGGAGTTAAAAGTAAAATATAGCTTCTTATACTAATAGAAGTTTGAAGGAAACAGCTTTGTATTAGTATTGTTTTTGTTTTATGTTATTGCTACTCTTCCTCTTTTTAATACTAGGGAACCAGTCAGAAAAAGAGTTCTGGAAAAGCGAACAGAAGACTTTAAAAAGGAAGGGAAGATATACAGATTGAGGACTCAAGATGATGGTGAAGATGAAAACAACACTTGGAATGGAAATTCTACTCAGCAAATGTAGTTACAAGTACAATATGTACAATAATCATTGTTTCTCTTATGATTTAATTCAACTAAGATTCTACTGGAGAGGTGGATCTGCTTTATGTTTTCCAACTGATCTATAAAGCATTTCTTTATTCCTGCTTTAGGAGTGTGGGTTAAAGTTGTTTAACTCAGAAAAAAGAAATAAAATAACTGACTGCTAGGTCCTTTTACAGTAACCAACTGCTAGAAGCCTAAAAGAATCAAAAGGCCAGTTTTGATAGGCTCCCTCTATCAGCTTCTTATTCAGTGTTTCAAAGACCTTTAGCCCTATGCTCTCAAATGACAAGTTTTGTTAAGAGTACTTTTTGCTCTAAGACTTTTAAGCCTACACAAAATAACTGGTATGTCACAGTAATTTATCTCTGAGAGCATTTTAACTAGTCAATCAGATAACTTATGTTTAACTTTTCTCTTTTGGCTCATCAGCTGCAAGCACAATCTTGTAATTTTTAATCTTACTTAAACACCGAATAAAAAATGTTTTCTAAAAATCAGAATGATCATATTTTTGCTGTAAGCATCTTTTTGTTCTTCAGGGCTTGTTGAGCTCACACATCTCTGGTTTTTTTTCTCCTCATTACTGCCCTGAAGCTATCTCAGCAAAAGAGCTGGCTACTTTACCCTAAATATCACTGAAAAAAGATTCCACATTATTCTCTTTCTTAGATCATTTAGGCATCACTTTGTTTGCAGAATTTCATGTTCTTTGTTCTCTTATGATGTAAAACATGAGAATTGCTAATGTACAACTTAGTTTTCTCTCTCATCTTTGTACTAAAGTTTTATAATTAACAATTAATACTACTATGACCTAGAGTACCAGTGGTGTAGGACAAAGGTGTAGAATGAAGATACAGCTTTACTCACTTGGTTATTAAGAATTTGAAAGAAGTTCATAATACAACTTACGTGCTACTTTATCCACAGGTTTTTGGCAGCCGAGATCATTAAATTAATGATGTTTGAAAGGGGGAGTAAGCATGTAGTTTCTCTGTTTCTAGATGAAAGGTATTGTTTTTGAGTATGTGCGGGAAGCTCTGACTTTATTTTGTAATAGGAGGAAGAAATTTTGTCAGCAAACTTTGTTTTTTCACCTGTAATAATGACTTTTAAAAATAGTGTTGGCAAGGAAACAATGGGACAAGTGATGCTGTTTGTCGGAGTGGAAACCAATAGTCCTCTGAAAAATGCTGTTAGAAACTTTAAATATTTCATACTCTTTGACCCAGTGATTTTTTTTTCTAAGGAATGATCATAAACGGCAGACAAAGTTTAGCTAAACATACTCATTAATTGTATTTATTTTACTTACGAACTGGAAACAACTAAATGCCTCCTGAGGATGTAATTTTTGATGAGGAGAAATGGTACAGTACTAAATTCATCATAGGTTTACTTGAGCACTTATTTGTTGGGGGAAAGAAGCAGGATACAGAGCTGCAGGTACAGTATGTCTCAGCTTTGTAAATACATTTTATATATAGATAGATCTATGTATTAATATATATGTAAAGAAAGAAGACACAGCAAGACATTAATAATGGTAAGAGTGGTTTTATGTGATTGTAGTTTTCTTTTTTGTACCTTATGTTTTTCCTATCTTCTGCAGTGATCATATTTCCATATTTTAAAAAGTGAGTTTGGAAAAGAAAATCTCTAACCAGCGTCCTATTTAAAATGTTGTCATCCTTTAAAATGCAACAATATGTGCTAAAAAAAATGTCAAATGGGTATGACTTACTAATAACTATTAGAAATACATTCGCAAAAATATTGAGTACTTCAAGTTATCTTTTAAAGTAAGTACACATAGTAGAAATCCAAAACAGTATAAAAGGCTATAAAATGAAAATGAAGACTCTTTCCTGGCATCTTACCCCAACTGCTGTTCACCAGAGTAACCTCTATTATAATAGTTTCTTACGTAATTTTCAGAAAAATTTTATGCATATATAAGCAAATATGTAATCTTTATTTTTAAATAAATGGGATCATATTATATATACTACTCTGTATCTTGATCTTTTACTTAACAGTCTTGAATATCTCCCCCTGTCAACACATAACTACCTCTTTCCTGTTAATGGCTACATATCATTCTACTCAGTGTAAGTACCCCAACTTATAACCATGCTTTTGTGGCATTCAGTGGTCATTAAAAATGTCTTGTTTTTGTTTTTCTATGACAAATATTGCTACAATGAACATTCTGGAGGGGAAAATATTACTACAGTGAACATCTTGGAGGGGTAGGTAGGGAGGTATATTTTTACTGTAAAAATGTACCTGTAGGATATAATTGTATAATTTGCTAGGTTAAAGGGTGCTTATGTATTAGATTATGAAACATGCCAAATTGGCTCCTTTAAAGACTGTGTATGAGGGTGTCAGTACCCTCAACAGTATATGAGAATGTCACTGCCCACTCTCTTGCCAACACTGTCATCTTTCATCTTTGTCAACATGATAGATGAAAAATTGTATGCATTTTATATGCCTTGTATTTATCGCAAATGAAGGGTGTCTTTTTTTTTTTGACTGTTACACAGCTTTATTTATTTATTTATTTTTTAATTCATATATGCATACAATGTTTGTATCATTTTTTTCCCCTTTGCCCCCCTCCCCTTACCCCCTGGCTACCTGGCAGAAACTATTTTGCCCTTATCCCTAATTTTGTTGAAGAGAGAGTATAAGCAATAATAGGAAGGACCAAGGGTTTTTGCTAGTTGAGATAAGGATAGCTATACAAGGAGTTGACTCGCATTGATTTCCTGTGCATATGTGTTACCTTCTAGGTTAATTCTTCATCTAACCTTTTCTCTAGTTCCTGGTCCCCTTTTCCTATTGGCCTCAGTTGCTTTAAAGTATCTGCTTTAGTTTCTCTGTGTTGAGGGCAACAAATGCTATTTAGTTTTTTAGGTGTCTTACCTATCCTCATACCTCCCTTGTGTGCTCTCGCTTTATCATGTGATCAAAGTCCAATTCCCTTGTTTGAAGGGCGTCTTCTTAACATTATTGATCATTTTCATTTATTTTGAAACTACGTATTTGCCTTTTTTTATCATATATAAAAATTCCATATTCAATAAGAAAATTAGCCCTTTTTCTTAGCATATTCTGTAAATACCTTATCTTTTGATGAGTACATGGGTGGTAATCTTTTGCCGTAATATTTATGTGCTTAAATTTATCAATTTTTTTTTCCCCTGTGGGTTTAAGGTTTGAACTCAGGGCTTTGCACTTGCAAGGCAGGTACTCTGCTGTGCAAGCCATGCCTCCAGCCCATTTTGCTGATTATTTTGGAGATGGTTTCTTGAGAATTATTTGCCTCTGTTGGCCTCAAACCACAACCCTCCCGAGAAGCTAGGATTACAGGCATGAGCCCCCAGCACCCAGTGTTTTTCTTTCTTTATGACCTCTGGGCCTTGAGTCTTGCTCATAAATACCTTTCCCACTTCAAAAAGTTAAGATTTTGTATCCTAGTATTCTCATAAGTTCCTTTTTTTGTGTTTAAATCTGGTATCCATAGGAGGAGTATGGCTCCCTCCCAGAATCATGACTGCTAGCTAGCATCCTCAAGAGTTAACCTGTTAACTCTGCCAGTCAAAGGGTCATCCATTTCTCCTGTCTTTTGATTTGGCATGCAACATTTGTCTTATACTCTATTCTCACATGTAATTGGAGCCATGTGTCCTTTCTATTAGTGATCTTGCTCTTCACTTTCTACTATCAAAGTAGCTTTAATAATATGCTTAAAAATTTTTTCCCCTAGACTCATCCTGGCTCTTAATTTTAATATGTGAAATTTTATTTTGTCATTGTCCCCTCCCACAAATATTACATTGAATTTTGAGATTTAGAAATAATTGACAGTTTTTGATACTGAATATCAAAAATGTCTTTAATATTAGTTTTAGAACCACTTCCATCTGACATACGTTTCCTATTGGTAGAAAATAATTCCTGTACACCACACGTCCCTGACTGCCAGGTTGGGACTCACAGTGGTAGAACATTGTGATAGGAATTTTTCTATAGAAATAATTCAGGTAAGGAGTGCACTTTACAAGAAAAAAAATTTCAGTCATGATCACTTTTAAAACCAGCCAAAAACTACATGTTTGTGTAACTGGGGATGGAACCCAGCAAGCCAGGTCTTTTTTTTTTTTTTTTTTAACCAAGGGTTTTTGCTAGTTGAGATAAGGATAGCTATACAGGGAGTTGACTCGCATTGATTTCCTGTGCATGTCTGTTACCTTCTAAGTTAATTCTTCTTGAACTAACCTTTTTTCTAGTTCCTGGTCCCCTTCTCCTATTGGCCTCAGTTGCTTTAAAGTATCTGCTTTAGTTTCTCTGTGTTGAGGGTAACAAATGCTATCTAGTTTTTTAGGTGTCTTACCTATCCTCATACCTCCCTTTATCATGTGATCAAAGCCCGATCCCCTTGTTGTGTTTGCCCTTGATCTAATGTCCGCATATGAGGGACAACATACGATTTTTGGTCTTTTGGGCCAGGCTAACCTCACTCAGAATAATGTTCTCCAATTCCATCCATTTACCTACGAGTGATAACATTTCCTTCTTCTTCATGGCTGCATAAAATTCCATTGTGTATAAATACCACATTTTCTTAATCCATTCATCAGTAGTGGGGCATCTTGGCTGTTTCCATAACTTGGCTATTGTGAATAGTGCTGCAATAAACATGGGTGTGCAAGTGCCTCTGGAGTAACCTGTGTCACATTCTTTTGGGTATATCCCCAGGAGTGGTATTGCTGGATCATATGGTAGATCAATGTTTAGCTTTTTAAGTAGCCTCCAAATTTTTTTCCAGAGTGGTTGTACTAGTTTACATTCCCACCAACAGTGTAAGAGGGTTCCTTTTTCCCTGCATCCTCGCCAACACCTGTTGTTGGTGGTGTTGCTGATGATGGCTATTCTAACAGGGATGAGGTGGAATCTTCGTGTGGTTTTAATTTGCATTTCCTTTATTGCTAGGCATGGTGAGCATTTTTTCATGTGTTTTTTGGCCATTTGAATTTCTTTTGAGAAAGTTCTGTTTAGTTCACTTGCCTACTTCTTTATTGGTTCATTAATTTTGGGAGAACTTAGTTTTTTAAGTTCCCTATATATTCTGGCTATCAGTCCTTTGTCTTATGTGTAGCTGGCAAATATTTTCTCCCACTCTGTGGGTGGCCTCTTCAGTTTAGAGACCATTTCTTTTGATGAGCAGAAGCTTTTTAGTTTTATGAAGTTCCATTTATCTATGTTATCTCTTAGTTGCTGTGTTGCTGGTGTTCCATTGAGAAAGTTCTTGCCTATACCTATTAATTCCAGAGTATTTCCTTCTCTTTCCTGTACCAACTTTAGAGTTTGGGGTCTGATATTAAGATCCTTGATCCATTTTGAGTTAATATTGGTATAGGGTGATAAACATGGATCTAGTTTCAGTTTTTTGCAGACTGCTAACCAGTTTTCCCAGTTTTTGTTGAAGAGGCTGTCTTCCATCATGTATTTTTTTGCGCCTTTGTCAAAGACAAGTTGGTTATAGTTGTGTGGCTTCATATCTGGGTCTTCTATTCTGTTCCACTGATCTTCATGTCTGTTTTTGTGCCAGTACCATGCTGTTTTTATTGTTATTGCTTTGTAATATAGTTTGAAGTCGGGTATTGTGATACCTCAAGCATTGTTCTTTTTACAGAGTATTGCCTTGGCAATTCGTGGCCTTTTGTGTTTCCAAATAAATTTAACGGTAGATTTTTTCAATCTCTTTAATGAATGTCATTGGAATTTTGATGGGAATTGCATTAAACATGTAGATTACTTTTGGGAGTATCGACATTTTTCTATGTTGATTCTACCAGTCCATGAGCATGGGAGATCTCTCCACTTTCTATATAGTCTTCCTCAATCTCTTTCTTCAGAAGTTTATAGTTTTCATTATAGAGGTCATTCACATCCTTTGTTAAGTTTACACCTAGGTATTTGATTGTTTTTGAGGCTATTATAAATGGAATTGCTTTCATATATTCTTTCTCAGTTTGTTCATTATTAGTGTATAGAAATGCTAATGATTTTTCTCTGTTGATTTTATATCTTGCTACCTTGCTATAGCTCTTGATGGTGTCTAGGAGCTTTTGAGTAGAGTTTTTTTGGATCTTTAAGGTATAGGATCATATCATCTGCAAATAGGGATATTTTGACAGTTTCTTTACCTGTTTGTATTCCTTTTATTCCTTCTTCTTGCCTAATTGCTCTGGCTAGGAATTCCAGTACTACGTTGAATAGGAGTGGAGATAGTGGGCATCCTTGTTTCATTCCTGATTTTAGAGGGAATGGTTTCAGTTTTTCTGAAAAAAAAAGGCAGTTCTTGAATATGCTGGACAAGTACTCTACTTCTGAGCTATATCCCCAGCCTCTTTTTTGTGTGTGTGGAGGAGGTGGGGTCTTGCTCTGTAGCCCAGGCTGGTCTCAAACTCAAGTTCTTCCTGCCTCTGCCTTCCAAGGGCTGGTATTATAGGTATGTACCACCACATCCAGTCCTACTCTGGAAACAATATATGGCTTAAGTAAGTTTTTAACTGTTTTACATGTAAAAGACATCATTGACAGAAGGAATAGCATTTGCAAGACACAAAGGAACATGGGATATTCAAGGATCTACATGCAGTTCAGAATTATCACACATTGGAGAAGGGGAGGGGAAAACAAGTTAAATGACCCAAAGTCAGGTCATCTGAGCCTTGAAGTTTGTTGCTCAGGGTCTCAGAATCTGTCATCCAATTTCAGCAGAGACAGGGATGACATAAAAGATGGCAGTGGAGGTAGGAAATAGAGGAGCAAAGGCTATTTCTGTAGGTTTTGATATCTGGTCCGGAGAATATAAGCAGAAAGCCTACGTTTGGTTTGGAAAAGTTAAGACTCCAAAATTACTTGTTTGACTTCCAACTTTATTTTGTTTTTCTTTTTTGCAATACTGGGCTTAACCTCAGGATGTA